GACTTATAGCATATTGAGTAAACACAAATAGCACATATAAATGTTGTTGCTCATGGTCAATATTTAAACAGCAAATGTGTGGTTCGGGAAACGGTAAGTGTGTAGTTCGGGTTTACAGGATCATTTGGTTTTGTGGTTGTTTACCATGGTGATAGCTCTGGGAAAGAAGCTATCCCTGAATCTCTTTGCCCTGGTTTCATGAGACCTGTTCCGTCGGCCTGACGGTAACCTCTATTTTGGTTTTAATCTTTTTTGCTCCAAAGCATGAAAGTTGATAGGTGAGATATTACATTTTCATTTAAGAAAATTACTGTGTTTTTATTTTTGTTATTGGCCTGTGAAAACAAATTAAACCTACTTTAAAACCGGAAAGATTACAGCTAGAAGAATAGAAATAGAAATAAAATAGAAAATCCCTTAATTGTCCCTCAGTGGGGAAAGCTTGGTGTCACAGTAACAATAACATTCATTACAGGAGCAACAAAGGAGAGTAAAAAATAAAGAATAAACAAGAAAACATAAAATAGAAACACTTAAAAGATTCAAAAGATAAAAAATAAGAAGAAATACTGAATATATGTCATTGTGGAATTACAAATGCCGGCTCTCCGGATTTTAAGGAATAAAACTATTGAAACAAAATTGAGACATAAGTAACCAATACCACTGATGTGTGTTTTATTTAAAATTGACTTGCTTGTGTGTAATTTGGTTATTCCACATTAGTACCGAAGCAAGTTCCTAGTTTGTGAATTGTTTGTTCTCTGACGATGGCAATAAACCCATTCTGATTCTGATTCTGAGTGTTACTGCAAAAATAAGTTTGTTTCCAAATGAAAAGGTCATACCTGTAGATAAAAGAAAATGTGCACATTTGCCATTACTTTTAAAAAAGTTTTGAGTTTGGCCCGCAACTTTTTTTCCCAGTTTTTCATTTTGGCCCAGTGTGAGTTTGAGTTTGACACCATAGATGGTGTGAAGATACGACATATGCAGCACCTGAATCTTCAGATACTGGAAGCCTGTGCTGGCATTTCTCCTGCTGTGTTGCTATCAGTGTATGAAGAGTTGTAGAATAGGGTTGCATTGACAATTCATCACAATGGGCAACACATTGAACACATTTTATAAGTGGTCAGAAACTTGTAAATACCTCATGAAAGAATAAAGTTACGTTTGAACCAAGCACACCATTGTTTTTCTGGATCCAAGATGGCCGACTTCAACATTGCCACCATGGTCACCACACATCTTGAAAAGTTTGTCCCCTCACATATACTAATGTGCCACAAACAGGACGTTAATATCACCAACCATTCCTATTTTATTAAGGTGTATTCTTATAAATGGCCCACCCTGTATATATATTTTTTATTTTTGCCATATCCTACCTCCAAGGCATGATGGGAAATTTGTAGCTTCCACTGTGATGGTTGGCTTAAGTGTATATAACAGAAATCCTCCAGACAAGAGGTGTTTTAGAATGTAATTATGTTGAAATGAGAGTTCAGGGATTTCATTTTTACATATGTTTTGTGCTGTTGTAAAACATGTTTTAAACGTTTAAAAAATATGGCTAAAACTCTTCTGTAAACTTTTACAGACGAATATTTTTATTTCCTCTCCACATAATTGAAGCCACAATATCTTTGCATGGATGCTGGATCAATTATGGAGTATCAGTAAAAATGTGGGGCTGGAAGGCCCCCCCCCCCCCCCCCCCCCCCCCCCCAAATAACATGACTTTACAATATCGAGTATTCGACCGAGTTTCAGACAACAAAAATAAATTCCTGGCAGTCGATGAATGCCAGCCCTCCGAAATACACACAGCCAACAATGACATTGCACATATAGCTCATGCTCCCAGGACATGGATGTTCCTGACAATTCTAGTCAGGATGATTGTCTTTTAAACCATATTCATACTGGGTGAACTGTGGATCATCAGGATTACGTTGACAGCTCAGCCTCATGTCAAGTAAATCCCGTCAAAATGTGTCTGTAAAGAAACACTTGAACATTTTCATTAACTTTGTAAAAAGAATTTTGTTTTTCCTTTAATTTTCCTCTTTGTCTGTTTATGTTGGATTTTCTTGGTTATAAAATAGCTCCACTTGCTCGTTTAGACTGAGAGCTTTGCTCGACCGGAAATCCTTCAGTCGCGACTCATGAGATGATTTTATAGTGAAATACATTAGAATTCATGGTACGTCGAAGCTGAAGCATCAGTAGAGATAACACATTTTAATTAGCATTGTCATTAAAACGTCAGCCGCTGAGTAAACTGATAAAGGAGTGTGTAACGTTTTCAGCTCAGAGGGATTTCTGCACCAAACTGTCAATAGACCACATCAGTGTAGAAAATAATCAATTCTAGTGGGATAACCACTAAACAAAAAACTTTACCTAAGGAGCAGTGGCATGTTTCTCTTTTACTGCAAAATTTCTAGCTTTTTACCAAGACGTTCATTGATATGCATAATAATATAAGTCTCTAGTGCCATTTTCCATGTTGTCAGCTGTTACCCTTTAAGGGTATCGTGTATCTTGTTTGTAAATATATCCATTCTGTCCACTGAGCATCTGTCTTAGGCTATTTACAGGTCACACGAGGCTTTAGACGCCTGCTCATGTTTGCAGTCACCGGATGGTTGAGATTGAGTTTAGTCTCTCATTTTAATATAGCTGTTGGAGACTGTCTACTTCACATAGCTCTGTATGTATAAGCACACTCAGCTGAACAGCAAGGCGCTTTTTGTTAGGTTTACTATGCATATATCAACTCAGTGGGGCACTTCATGTTGCCTTCAAGGGTTGAAGTCATTTAATTGTTTGATGAAAAAAAGATAAAATAAAAAATCTATAGAAAATATTGCATATAAAATATTTCTGTGAAAAATTATTATGAAATGGCAAGTAAGGCAACAATTATTACAGCCTTTATAGGTGTGTTAGTACGGAAGAGGGTTAGGGCCACTGAAAAGAAAAATCTAACTTTGTTGTCAGGATTTTAACTTTATTCTCAGAATTCTTACTTTAATGTCAAAAATCTGACATTTTTTTTTTGCTGCTGAGGATTAATAAATTTTGAATTCTGAAAAAATGTCAGAATTCTGAAATTATAGTCAGAATTCTGAGAAAAAAGTCAGAATTTTCTTTTTTCTTTTGTTTTTTACGTGGCCCTAATCCTCTTCCGCGTGTTTGACTGAACAGCCATTTTTAAAGTGTTTTTTCTGATTATAATTGGTCACTCTGAGACTTTCATGCAGGCTGAACATGAAAATAGTCTCCTACACCTACCTCCCGTGTTAGCTTTTAATAGAAAGTAGACGGTGAAATGCTAGGATTAGAAAGTCCTCACATATCTATAATAATAATGTGTGAATTTACCCATCTTGGCTCGCGTGCGCCCACAGGAGGTCTTTTAAAAAAATTTGCAACAAGGAGAGAGAGTGGCGAGAGTCTTGGTGAGGATGACGTTGCAACATGGCTGAATGCATTTTGTTAGCCAATGAGAAGCGAGGTGTGTGCATATCAATAATAATAATAATAATGAGTAATCCTGCTGTTTTCAGCCAACCTCTGCACCAGCAAACTTCTGCATCACAGCTTTTTTAACGACTCACAAGGCATTGATTTACACTCAAGAATACTGTATTGAATAAATGAGTAAACCACTCCTGTAAAAACGTGTTCCAGTGGTCAGCAGCTCAGCATGATTATGGGACTTTTGAAATCAAACTAATTGATTTCTGCTGAAAGACAAAATGGAAAAGACATTCTGTAGATATTTTGTCCAAATAACCAGTTGCCAAAAGACAACAAAATCAAGGTTAAACTGAGGTCTGAGGAACAGCAAATCACTAACTGTTTGACTGCAAAGGAAGCTGAGCCCGCTGTGGTGGTGAAGGCTTAAATATACTGGATCTGCTGGGAACCACCATCATTTAAAGGCCTACCACTGCTAGAGGGCATCCAGATTGCCCACAGTATTGCAGCATCTCGTGTGATCAGGGCACATTGTGACTGATACTCTGCTACTAACAGATCAAATATTTCATCAATATCCACAAAACTTACTGAGTTGTAGCAAATTATGAAACTGTAGATTAAATGTGTGAAAAATCAATAAAATGTGTTCAGAAGCTTCTGCTTGACTGTGACATTAACATGTTCAGATGGTGTGATGAGAAACACTCTTCCTCTCCATTAAAGAGCTCAACTTTCAGGATGTGTGAAACAAACCAAAGGAGTGAGAGCAGGAGATGCAGACCACACCGGACCAGACAGGAAGGCCCTCCCTCCCACTTCCTCCTTCACTCTTCATTACATCATATGTGATTATTTCTCCGTCAGCTCTTGGTGGAAGAATTGTGAACAGACGAGTGTTTAGGTTGGAGTGGGGGGTGGCGTTTGGACTCCTAGCGATGGAGCTAACGGCTGAAAGTGTTCGATTGCCCAATAAGGACAAGAACTCCTGAACAGAAATAGTTTCTGAGTTCAGTAGAAGGTTCATTTTGTTTGTGTTGCTCCCAACTCCCCAAGGAGATGAACATAATGCTTCTCATGAACGACGCTGAACATCCTCCTCTGCTGCTTTACTTTGAGAAGATAAAACCACTGAAGTTGGGTTTTGTGGCTGCAGGATGTGGGTTTTTGTTTATCTTGAGCTCTGTGTTGAGCTCTTTGTGGCTCCGTTCATAACATTTATGCAGAGGAAGAGGTGTATCCCTGTGAAATGGGTGGTGTGTGTGTGTGTGTGTGTGTGTGTGTGTGTGTGTGTGTGTGTGTGTGTGTGTGTGTGTGTGTGTGTGTGTGTGTGTGTGTGTGTGTGTGTGTGTGTGTGTGTGGCGGGGGCGCGTTGGGCCAGAGTTAGCATTCCACGTCTCCTCTGTAATATCTCACACCACGATAGGTACAAAATGTGCTCCTTTTCTCAGCATGCAGTGTTTTTCTTTCTGACTCCCTTTTCCTCCTGTTTTTCTCTCCCTTTTCAGATTTGATATCTACAGGAAGGTGCCAAAAGATCTCACCCAGCCAACGTATACAGGAGCTTTTAGTGAGTAGTCCATCATCACACATGGAGGAGATTACTATCTTAACTTTTTCATGGTGTTTTTGTTTGATGGGGCTTTGTTCACCAATCAGCCTCTACATTTAAAATCACCATCCCTTGCGGAGCTCTTTCACAAGCATCCCAGAATCTGTGGCCCACTGATGCTGGAGGACGATCAGATGAGTACAGGGATGTTGATATTGGATCTTGTAGGCTCTTCGTCAAGGCCAGACCTTGACCTCTTTGTTGTGCTCCTCATGTTGTTCTGTTTAGTTTGTTTGTGAGATCGTGTCAGCTGGAGGGACGCTCCTTAAAGTAATGTGTCACTTTCAGGTTACTGACGGCAGTGTGAGATCACTACACAACACAGATGAGTCATATGTGGCTGTTGAACCTGTTGGGTTACTTTAGTACACTGAAGAAGAAAAGCGTCATTCTTCAGTAATCTGACAGCTTTAAATTTGAATGACAAGGAAAGTAGAGGCAGCCATGATTGAAATTTAGTTTGTCTTTTATAGCGTTTCTGTTCCTTTAACATGAAATTCTTCTTGTCGATTTTAACCAGAGATAAACACTAAAAATGTCTCTAGATCTTTCTATGTTTAAATGGTAATTGGCCTGTATTTGTAATACATTCTTAGGATTATACGACCCCCCAAGGCGCTTCACAACACAGTCATTCACCCATTTACACACTGGTGATGATGAGCTACGATGTAGCCACCGCTGCCCTGGGGCGCACTGACAGAAGTTAGACTTTCAAACACACAAGCCACCAGTCCCTCCGACCACCAGCAGGCAAGGCAGGTTAAGTGTCTTGCCCAAGGACACAAGAAGAAGAAGAAAATAGCATTTCTATAGCGCCTCTCAAGATAAAAATCACGAGGCGCTTCACAAAAACAAAAAAACGTAAAAATATAAAAAAGCATTTAGAAAATGTTTAAAAATATATTTAAAATGAGCAAAAATAGGCAATTGTGATTTAAAAAAATGTTAAGAGAGAGTGAATTGTAAAGAGGGGATCCTGAGGAAGGTGGAATGGTGGGGAGAGCAGAATAAAGAGAGAGTGGTTGAAGAAGAACAACAGAAGCATTCTCTGGCGGTAGCCGGGGTCAAACCTACAACCTTCCGATTACTGGACAGCGTGAAACCTCCTGAGCTACTGCTGCCCAAGATATACACATGCATTCTTTCATGTCGGTATTGTTCCGGTTAGCCTGTGGCAACACAAATGGTAAACACTGGTGAGAGTGAAGCAGATGATGTAAAAGCAGGATATGCAAAATGGCCGAAGGACTGGACAACAACGCTGCAGCACAGCTTATTTGGTTCAGACTGATTAAAGCGGTCAATGAGTGTTTTGGGAGGGAAGGACTTTCACAGCTGTAGTTGAAGTATCCGCCTACTCTGGATCTGAAGTACGCCCTGGTCAGAGTGTCAGTGCTGAGCCATGTTTGTAGAACGTTATGTGGTGAGAACACTAATGATCATGTGCATCCATCGCCTCAGGCGCCTGTCAGTGGAAATCCGACGCCGTTTTTCTCCCTCAGTCAGCTGCTTTCCTACCCATCATCAATAAGTCATCATATCATCTTGACTGTTCACTCTTGAGATTACAGTGGACTCCATGACATGTTTTTGGCACCACCAGTCTTTCTTGTATCAGCTGATGGAAAAATTTGTATCCGCTCCAAATGAAACTGATGACACTGAATGAACTGAGCTGCTGTTGCCGTTTGGATCTGGTTGTGCCACATTTTTTGACGATGAGGAAAAGGGAAGTTGCTAAACATGCTCACCAGCTTCCACCACAGAGGAAGTGGATGGAAGTCCTTCCTGTCCACAGTGAACTCCCTTCCTGTCGCCTTCCACTGTCTGAGGGTGTGGGCTTTAGATTCAGTCATATGTTAGACAATTGTTATTTTTATTTAGTCCACAGCAGAGAAACCCGCCCTTTTGCTTTGGTAAGAGACTTCCTAACTAAAAACTTGATGTACAAGGAAGTTTCTGGGCAACTCAGATGTTCTTTTGTGTAAAATGTAAAATCATTGCTATCTTACCTGTTACAAATATCTTCCTGAGTGACCTCCATTCAGAGAATTGTAGTTTCTGTCTAAAGCCTGTTTTCCAACAGCATAAATCAGCGTGACTCGAATGGGAGTGCTCCGGTTTGACAGCCTTTTCCAACAGCACGGTTCCGTATTTTCTCCCTACTCTCTCCCAGTTATTCGGTACATGCTTTATTGTGGTTCCTAGCATGGTGACCCGATCTGGAAACACTACTTCAGCGACTGTCAGCCACTGATTGGCAAAAGTGGAGTCACTGGTTGTCCCAAAGCTTTCTGCCTGTTGCCTTGCTGTCTGCAGCCATTGGTCGAGTCTGACCGAGGCTAAACAGAATAGCTCCCATTGATGTGCTGTGTTGTGTTTCTGTGTAGCTTACAGATCACCTCACGCTGTTTACTGGTCACCTCGCATTATTTTTGTCTTGAAAAAAGATTACGAGTGACCTCCCCCATGCTGACAAGTTCACCTACTTTTGTAACAGAGTTGGCAGGAAAACCAACTGCACTGAGGTGAGCGGTGTTGACCTACGCTGTTTTTGGAAGAGTTGTGCCTTTAGAAATACCCTGTTACAGAACTAATGAAGCAACATCAAGAACAAAGTGGGCTACCAGGGTTTTTCCTGGCTCGAATTGAGGCAGAGGTGGTACCATCATGACCATACGCCATACTCTGTGCATTCAACTGCCTCACTTTTTTTTCGGTCACTACCCAAAGCTCATGACCATAGGTGAGGGTAAGAACGTAGATCGACCGGTAAATCAAGAGCTTCGCCTTCTGACTCAGCTCTCTCTTCACCACGACAGACCGGTACAACGCCCGCATCACTGCAGATGCAGCACCAATCTGCCTATCGAGCTCACGCTCCAGGTTTCCCCTCACTTGTGAACAAGACCCCGAGATACTTAAACTCCTCCACTTGGGGCAGGACCTCATCCCTGACCTGTAGAAGGCATTCTACCTTTTTCTGTATCAAGACCATGGTCTCTGATTTAGAGGAGCTGATTCTCATCCCAGCTGCTTCACACTCGGCTGCGAACCGCTCCAGCGACAGCTGGATTCCTTACCAGGAAGGCTCAGGAGTGTGATCCCCTGTAGTTGGAACACACCCTGCGGTCCCCCTTTTTAAATAAGGGGACCACCACCACCCCGGTCTGCCAGTCCAGTGGGACTGCCCCCGATGTCCACGTGATATTGCAGAGCCGCGTCAGCCAACACAGCCCCACAACATCCAGAGCATTAAGGAACTCCGGGCGGATCTCATCCACCCCTGGAGCCTTGCCACAGAGGAGCTTTTTAACCACCTCAGTGACCTCGGCACCAGAGATTTGAGAGGCCAACCCAAAGTCCCCAGACTCTGCTTCCTCACTGGAAGACATGTCGGTGGGATCGAGGAGGTCTTCAAAGTATTCTGCCCACCGATCCACAACGTCCTGAGTAGAGGTCAGCAGCACACCGTCCCCACTATAGATAGTGTTGGTAGCGCACTGCTTTTCCCCCCTGAGGTGCCGGATGGTGGACCAGAATCTCCTTGAAGCCACACGGAAGTCTTGCTCCATGGTCTCACCGAACTCCTCCCCTGCCCGGGTTTTTGCCTTGGCGACCACCCGAGCCGCGTTCCTGTAAACAATGGGAACAATGGGAGAAATTTCTTGTTTACAGTATAATAACGATATTTTAGAAGCCATTTACAAGCTAACTGTCAAATAAGCATACAGCAAGCAGTAATTTAATAAAACAACTTAAAGAAATACTTAATGTGACCTTCGACGTGTTGAAAGTAACTAGATAAGTGACTAGATTAAATGTAAACTTCCACAGGTAGCGCGTCTCGACTTATTAACAGCCTGTGACACAATAATCGGCCTGTGCATGCACTGCACATTTTCCCAAAGTAGCACATTTCGACGGGGAGCACGGATAGTCGGAACACCGGTTTTGCCTTTGCTGGTTCCTGTATTTTCCTCCACTGCATCCAGATGATCACACTGTGCGCCAGTAAAAAGCATTTTCAGTACACGTAACTTACTTTTGCTCAATAAAGTTCTGGGGAAAATGGTAATTCAAAGATGTTGCACCAGTGCTACGTTTAAAAATAGACAGACACGCACAGACAGTTTTTTTTGTCGCACTGTACAGCCCTGCTCTGATATGGAAGAGCCTGGGGGAAAATCAGGACGTCAGTAGCACCAACCATGGATATGTACCCAACTAGCGAGAAAAGCTATTTTTGATCTTAGTCTGCAGCGGTTTTAGTGCTTTTCGGTGCACCGCTGCTGATACAGCGCCCCTATAGTGGCGCAACGCTGCAACTGCAGTTAAAATAACAGCCATATAGATGGGGGCAGAGTGAAATCAGGCTGGGGCGGCCGCCACTCAAATTTGAATGCAGGAAAAACCCTGGCTACTGTTGGCTCAGATGTCCAAACTTTTACAGTGATTCACGCAGAAGCAATTTTATAAATATCTACCACAGTCGAGTTCACATTACATGCAGGATTATTTCATGGAGCTCCATAGTAATGTAGCGTAAGTAAAAGCAGCAAAATGAGTTGCTGCTGACACACTCAGTGGTCACGCCACAAGGGGTTTTTCATTGTTATTGGTGAAATAACCATGTATTACATCCAAAGATGGTGCATGATACATTGTCCAACATCAAAATATGGGAACTTGATCTAAATTGTACAAAAATAAATCCGTGTTTCATTGCTGAGAGTCACATTTCTATCTGAATCTGTGTGTCACAGCTGTGAAAATGTGCAAACCAGCTGGGGTAAATAAAAGACGCATGTTAGCTCTTAGTAGATGCTTTGACTTGTCAGTGTTTCCATTACAAGGCTATTTAAGAGCAGCAGGAGCTCACAGAGCAGCCTTCAAAGCCAGGGAAGAATGACTTCAAGCCTTCTGATGAACCTGAATTGGTGACTTATGTGTCATAGAGTGACACGCCCTGTTGTTTGATAGTTAAACATTAGCTTATGTAAAGCCTCCATCAGCGACAAGTTTGGTTGCAACGCCCTGCCAACCACAAGGTCATGTGCTTATGAAGCACTAGGAGACAGTTGCCACATAAACATGCCTCACCTGATATGTAAAACTAACTTACTGAGATTCTCATCACACCAATGAATACAACTTTTTCTTCTCCTTTCAAATCAAGAGTTTACATTTACTTAGTTTGAAATTAAAACTAATATTTCTGGTTCCTTTTAAATAGAACATATTATGAAAACTCACTCTTACATCCTTTTGTGCTGTCATTGTCTCTAAGCAAGCAAGGCAACGCAGCTTTATTTTTTATATCACATTTCATACATAGTGCAATTCAATGTGCTTTCCCAGAGCAAGAACAGCAAAAACATGAAACATTAAAATCAACGTGACAACATAAAGCAGCAGATTTTAAAATAAAAAGTTCTACTTTGCTAGTTGTGCAGTATACACACCTAGCAGGGCTCTATTTTGGCCCCATGCTATTGAGTGATTCATAAACTAGTAAAACATTTTGAAATTGATTCTGTAGTTTACTGGTAGCCAGTGTAGAGATTTAACCCTTATGCATAATGGTCACTACAGTGGACAGGTACTCAAAATTGTTATTTATTTGTTTTTGCTATTAAGCACAGCTGTTGAAGACTTTATTGCATTGGAGCCCTTCCATTTGGACTTCAGTTAGCCAAGCCAACATATTTCATGCTCAGAATGCACGCTGTCCACTGAGGTGGACATGTAATAAATGATTTGTAAATTATAAAATTTTACAAAAAATATTTGTTGAATTTTGTTTCATTCACACCTAAAGATGAATCCAAAAAATTGTTTAAAAAAATCATGGTTGAAGATTTCATAATTCATGCATCAAAGGGTTAAGAGCTGGAGTGATGTTTTTGATTCGTTTGGTTCTTGTTAAGACTCCAGCAGCAGCATTCTGAATAAGCTGCAGTTGCTTCACAGCTTTTTTGGGAAGGCCAGTCAAAAGACTATTGCAATAGTCCAGCCAGCTGGAGATGACCACATGAATGAATTAGTCTAGCTCTTGTCTGGACTTGAGACATCTGAGTCTTGCTATGTGATGAGGATTATGGTCTGTACAGGCCGGGATCACGTTAACCGGATATTTTCTGGTTTTGACCGTTTATTTTGACGGATAAATCTCAAGGCTGTTGGTCATTCTGACAGACTGGAATTACCCCGACGCAGCCCAGCAGCAGAACCAAAACACAGCAGGTAAAATGTGAAATTGTTTAATTGTAACTTTAGTATGCTGGTCGGCTTGTCTGGACTAAATATTAATGAAAAAGGAATGAAAATTAAATTGTGAATTTTTATTTATTATTATTTGAAAAATGAAAGTGATGGGAGGAAACGATCATGACCGGTCAAAATGAAAACAAACATGTCTAGCGCAACCTTCACGTGTAGGTGTTTTTCTGTACCTGCTTGTAACTTATGTTGATTATAACCTGTTTAATTAAGACCCATCCAGAAATTAAAACCTGGTGCAGCGCCTGTGTTAGAGGAGTCATGTTTCGGGACAGCTACTGATTATAAATATGTTGAAGTAATGCTACAATACATCAGGATCTCAGACTGGTTTCTTGAACCAGACAATGAGTTCACTGTACTCAAATGACCTCCACAGTCACGAGATTTCAATCCAATAGAGCACTTTTGGGATGTGGTGGAATGGGAGATTTGCAGCCACTGTGTGATGTTATCATGTCAATATGGACCAAAATCACTGAGAAATGTCTCCAGTACCTTGTTGAATCTTTACCACGATGAGTTGAGGCAGTTCTGAACGCAAAAGTGGGTTCAACCTGGTACTAGCTAGGTGTTCCCAATCACGCGGCCAGTGAGTGTATACACATGTACGTGTGTGTTCATTTCAGCTGTGTCTTAACAACCAAGGTGATAATGTTGGACATACTGTCCCCATAGAGATCTTCAGTCAGGAATTCAGTCCTGCTAACAGTTTTCTCAGACAGCTCAAGTGGAGCCGGTCCAGTTTTCTGGCTGGTAAACTGGTTTCACTCCAACACTAGGGGACTTTCTCAGAAAAGGCACAAAGGCTTGTCACTGAAGACGTAATCTCAGAGGTTTTGTTGTTGTATCTTCCGCTATGGGTACCATGGGTATCCTTTTTAGAGATTAGCCCAGTCCTCTGTTGGCAGTCCTGACGCGGTGTGTGATATACGGTTTATATTAGGGATGCCCAATGCGTTGACCATCGTGGTGCCCATCGGTACCCCTACCCCGACTGCTTTGAGCTGCACCTTGTAAAAGTAGCTCACAGAGTGGAACAATGTGGGCACCCTTGGTTTATTTAACATAAATTTCAGTGTTTTTTTTTTTTTTTTTTTTTTTACAGTCATCCATTTAGTTTGACATCCCAGTTACACAACAACTCTGACATATTGATCAAGGTGATACCTGATTCAGCATCTGGTTTTCCATTCATTATGTACAAATGTTATCCTGACAGGGGTATGAACTCGTAACCCCCAGTCCAAAGGCAAGTGACCGTAGCACTGAACCAAGAAGATCAACACTGGTTGTGTTTCAAGGTCACCAGAGTACATTTGGTAAAAGATATCTTAAGAAAACTTTAATAAAAATCACCCCTCCATCACAGGTGACCTTCTGACATTCAACTTTAAGAAAACCCACTTGGGCCCTTGGAAAAAAGTGCTAATAGTTTTCTTGAGTTCCACTAACCACATAATATTAAAATGACAATAGTTTAACAAAGGTTAAAAAAATGAATGATCTAAATGTTAGTTTCAGTCTAACTCTCCGTCTCTCCCCACAGTATCCATTCTATGCTGCGTCTTCATCCTCTTCCTCTTCCTGTCTGAGCTGACGGGATTTATAGCCACTGAAATGTAGGTATCACCGCACCAGTCCACCTCATTACATCCTGTAACCCATCACACTGGGAGTTAATAATGAATGTCAGTGACCTAATTGTGATGCACTCTGCTCAGCCAGCAGCGCAGCCAATGAATTTTCTCTCAGGAAATTGACTTTGTGTTTGCGTCAGCCTCCTGGCAGCCTGGGAGAGGAGGTGACATGAGAAGGGTTTAAAAAAAAGGCAGGAAATTGCACAAGTAGACAAAAAATCTTGCAATTTGGCAAAAGACGAGTCCTTAAATAAACGTGAAATGACTCATCGTAGATAATGTCTACCTTTTTTACATGAATGTAATCATTTTATCCCTCTGAAATGTGTCTTTTGTGTATGTAACTGTATTCTTTCTGTCTGTTTTAGTGTGAATGAATTATATGTGGATGACCCTGATAAAGACAGTGGTGGGAAGATAGAAGTGAGTTTAAACATCAGTTTGCCAAACTTACACTGTGACTGTGAGTATAACTATTTCACTACATTGTACCAGTCTTTCACACACACACACTCACACAGGCCCCACTGTGGGCGTCATTTCTTCTTATTAAGCAACACTGGACTGGCTGCTGTCTTACTTAATACAGAGCATTATAACAAATACATAGTCTTGGTAAAAAGGAAGTACATGCTCCGAACTTTAGAGCTTTACATGTCGGGACATAAACACATTTTTATCGGGATCTGAATTGATTCAAATCTGAACGGTGTACGAAACACACAACAGAAACACCCTTGCCTTTATTTATTAAACATAAAGCCAGTATAGAGAAGCTGTCTGACTTCTACACTGCTCTAGAGGAACTCTGGCTCGTGCCTGCTGTGGGTTCATCAGGTCTGTGTGTAGTGTTTCTGCTCAGCTCTTTTAATGTCCACCACAGCATTTCTGTCAGTTTGATGTCAGGACTTGGGCCGGACCAATTCAGTAATTTGATACTTTAGTTTCCCAGTCATTTGTTTATATAGCGCCAAGTCACAACAAGGGTCGTCTCAAGGCACTTCACAAAGTAAACGTTCCGGTTGAGTTCAGTTCATTCAGCCAATCAGTAAAAAAGTCGCCTGTAGAAACCCAGCAGATTGCATCGAGTCACTGACTTGTTGTGTCAGACTTTACAGCAGTCCTCGTACTGAGAAAGCATGTTTTACCATTCTGTCCTGTACTAGAATGTTTCACCTTTTTTGTAATTTGAATTGCTTTTATTTTTGATTTATTCACTATATTTGTACTTCTACTGTACCATGTTCATCACCTTGGGCATCCTGACAGGGTTGCGGAAGGCGCTTTATAAATAAAGCTTTGCTTGATTGATTGATGTAGCGACGGAGGAGAGAACTTCCCTTTAAAGCCGGGCGTACACTGTGCGACTTTTTCACTTTTTTGAGCCGATTTTCCACTCGTACGAGAATCCACGACATCGGGGTGAGTTTTGCGCCGAGCGGTCGTGTAGTGTACAGGGGGTTACAAGAGGCGATTAACACCACGTGACCAGCTGCCGATCAGCAGTCGTGAGCTCGCACGGACTTCTGGCGTGTTTAATATTTCGCTCGTCCCTCGTCAGGGTATTGCACTGTTGAAGCGGCGCTGCGAGCAGCTGCGACCCAAAATGTATCAGAACCGCTCACGGCGCTTGCGCAATCCTGCATCAACGCCACTCGCTATTTCCCTAATAACACACGCTGTTCGTTTTTATTTCTACAGGTTTTTTTACTCACAAAGATTGTCAAGAAAGCGTGTTTGTCGTGTTCATGTCAAATTAAACTGATCACAAAACACAGATTTACTTTCTTTATTTCGTTTTCCTCATCCAACCCCCATAAATCCCTGTGTGTCCTGCAGTACTCCCGAAGGACAACAGGCAAAACAAGACAAAAAAGTCTGACGTGTTGAGTAAAAACTGCTTTTTTTTTAGCACCTTTTTAGGTCAAACGTGTTGCTACCAGACGTACGGTGTGAGCAGTCAGGTCGCATGCGAGAACTGGATCGTACAGTGTGAGCGCATGACTCGTGAGATCTGCTCTGCGAGGAAGTCGTACAGTTTGAGCTGAAGCTGAGTGCTGCGAGTGAAAAAGTCGCACAGTGTACGCCCGGCTTAACAGGAAGAAACCTCCAACAGAACCTGGCTCTGTATGAGCAGCCATCCGTCACGACTCACTGGGGGCTTGAGAAGATGGAGCACACACACACGCACGCATGCACACACACACACACACACACACACACACACACACACACACACACACACATACACATTCACCAGTTGCTATAATTGTCCTTTTGTGACATAGTTTGGTCCAAGTTTATGCTGTCAGGCAGATGGACTCGCATCGGACTCTACGAGGCTTTAACCGACTCAAAGAGCCCAAATCATCAGCCCCACCACTGTGCTGACAGCTGGTTTGGGTTTCTTCAACATGGAGCGTTGCATTTTGGGTAAACATCTGTTCAAAAGACACTGTCCCAGAACACGTGTTGGTCATTCAGATGCAACTTTTCAAACTTGCTGTCATGTCATTTTTATAGACCTGAGGTTTTGTTCTTCAACTCTTCCAAACACGCCCTACATGTGCAGTCTTTTTCCAATCGTTCCATGTTGACCCTTAACCTTTAACCTGCTAACCAAGGCCAATAAAGTCTGAGTTGGAATTCTCTGAATTATCCCTAAATAATTCCTCAGTATGGCCTTGGTGTGAACTTGCTACGACTTCCACTCCTGGAAAAAATTGGCAGCTGTCTTAAATATTTTCAATTAAAGGGGACAAATGACGCAAATCTCCCTTTTTTGCGTCACTTGACGTGATGTGGGACATGTTTGTATAGACTATGGACCTATGATAACTGAAAAGAGGTCTAATATGACTCGATAATCTATCTCCTTGTAGATCAATAGACCCCCAGCTTCATTTGAAGCAACCGTCTAATCACTTTCAGATTGGTGGACGGCAACAGTTGTTCTCTCACTGATCCTCCTTGGCATTGTGTTAACACACACCTGCATGCTCCAGACCAGCAGTCTGACTGAACTCCTTCATAGTGGAGATCACACGGCTGGTGATCAAATGTGATTAACAAACTAATAAAGATCAGGACTTGTTTTTGTTCCAGTACCTTAAACTGTATTTTTCTTTAGCGTGACCGTAACTGACATCGTGTTGTGTTGTTACCCTCCTGCGCAACATGACACCACTTTCAGGTTGATCTCAGGCTGTTTGCTGCTGCGATCCTTCCTCCGCTGGCTCGCCCGCTGTATTTTGATATGGGAGAAGGCGAGCTGAAGCGTGGCCGGAGCAGTCGGTGGTTATTTGCTCCCCATGACTCCCCTCAGAAACTATGCCTATCACAGAATCACACGCAGCGCAGACGGCTCGCATCCAGCTCCGCTGACATCCTAAAAAGGGAAAGCTAATAAATGCCTGTGAGAATATTGAACCCAGCTTTCTTCTTGGACGTCTGGCATCAGTTCAGCCGGTCGTGACCCAAACACAGGCTGCTGTTTCTGTTTCTGATTAAACCTCTTCCTAATCGCATGTCTGCTGCTTTTATTTATCTGTGAGATGTAAGCTATTTATTCTTCTCTGCTGCGAGTTGATACCATGTCGGTCCATTTATTTTCCAGGACCCCAAACAGGTTGTCATCTATTGTAAAATGTACTTGGAGGGAGAAACCGTTCCATCACAGAAACCTCAGCACTGTTTCTGATTTATCTGCGCTGCTTTCCAGATTTAAACCATATTCTCCCTCCACTGACCTTAAAAGATTGTCTTGTTTTGATTAGTGACCTCATGGAAACACACAGGCATGCATAATAATCGTATGTCAACCCTCGTCCTAAGCCACATTATATCAACACCCCCTTCAGTCCAAAATGTCTTAAAAGGAGAACTGAAGATCTCTCAGGGGCTATTTTATATTTATCCCCTGTATTTTGAGATGGTGCGTGTGCGCAAATGTGTGTGTGTGTGTGTGTGTGTGTGTGTGTGTGTGTGTGTGTGTGTGTGTGTGTGTGTGTGTGTGTGTGTGTGTGTGTGTGTGTGTGTGTGTGTGTGTGTGTGTGTGTGTGTGTGTGCGCGTGTGCAAGAGCTAGTGGGGGTGCGGCACTTTCCCTGAATGTCAAAGTTCAGACAGGCTATGTGTGTTAGCTTGGACTCGGCACTCCTCCACTGGCCGGCGTTCAGCAAAGGCAGGTCCAGAAACAAGGCCACTGCCAGAGTGCCACCAAACAGCAGGCTTGTGTGTGTGTGTGCGTGTGCGTGCGTGCGTGCGTGCGTGTGCGTGCGCTGACTTTGTGGGTGACTTTCTGCGTTGGGATTGAGAATTCTCCACTTATTTCTTTAATAGCTTTCTTCTTTCTGACTACTGAAGGTGAAACATGAGCTGCAGGTGACTGTTCTGCTCCGTTATCACTCTAACCAGTTTGTCGTTCAGTTCAAAGTCTTCAGCCCACGCTCAGAAATGATCATTTTTGTCCAGACGCTGAAGTTTTTAGGATCGTGGATCGTCATGTTGATCTTGGGCCTCTTTCTCCATACTCAAAACCAGTTGTGACCAGTTTGGGGGTGAAAATTGATGCTGAACTTAAATTTGATGTTCACATCAATTCTGTGATCCGGTCCAGTTTCTTTCACCTGAGACGCCTTGCTAAAATCAAGCATATGCTGTCGAGAGCCCACCTGGAGCGGGTACTGCATGCTTTTGTAATTTCTAGGCTTGATTACTGCAACTCTCTATATGCAGGGTTGTGTCAGTCATCACTGCGTCGCCTACAGGTTGTGCAGAACAGCGCTGCCAGGTTCCTGACTGGGACCAGGAAACGGGACCACATCAGTCCGGTTCTGGCCTCCCTGCACTGGCTTCCGGTTTGCTATCGCTCACACTTCGGACTCCTCGTCTTTGTTTGTCATTTCTTCCAGGGTGGTGCTCCCCCCTATCTGGCCACGCTCCTTAACAGACATTCCCCATCACGCGCTCTGCACTCCTCTGACCAAGGCCTGCTCGCTGTCCCTCGGTCTAGGTGTCGTACTCTCGGGGACCGGGCTTTCTCAGTCCTAGCACCGTCACTCTGGAACCAGTTGCCACCCTCAGTTAGGCTGTCCCCATCTCTGCCAGTCTTCAAGAGTCACCTAAAAACCCACCTCCTCTGCTTGGTGTTTCCTGAACATGTTTGAATTTGGCCCTCTTTTATTTTGATTTTATCTCAGTTTTCATTGGTTCACTTTTTCCCTTGTTTTACACATTTGTCCTGTACTAGAATGTTTCACCTGTTTTGTAATTTGTAATCTGTAATTTGAATTGCTTTTATTTTCTGATTTATTCACTTTATTTAACTTTGTACTGTCCCATGTTCAGCGCCTTGGGCTTCCTGACATGGTTGCGGAAGGCGCTTTATAAATAAAGCTTTGATTTGATTTAGTTTCCACTAAAAACAAAAGGATGAAGATTCTCACGCTAAAGAACGTCTGTCAGAAAATAAACTTCCTGTTGATGTTATGATTTTTTTCTCTCCAGTGGTGGGTTTGGACATCCAAGATGAGATGGGCCGCCACGAGGTCGGCCACATAGACAACTCCATGAAGGTCCCGCTCAACCAGGGCGATGGCTGTCGATTTGAGGGAGAGTTCACAATCAACAAAGTAAGGCTTCACCCCCAATCCGTGATTCCTAGAAGGTGCTCATGGATTATATGACTCTTCGCATCTACCACATGATATCTGTTTGCTAGTTACAGGAGCAGCTGTACCTAGAACGGGCTTGGCTCCAAACGTTGAAAGTTGAACTAGAATTCATTCATGAGATTTTGCTACCACACAGATTGGGTCGACTTCCATGTGCATGAAGTTTTAGTTTCAAGTCCACATTTGTGGACTGGGATGGAGATGATGCTCAGCTACAGATCCGAGCTGAATGTCTGGACTGACATGACTTTTATGTGTTGTCTGGTGATTAAAGCTGACCAATTTAATCAGCAATCCCAAACCCAAAAAGCACCAGTGGAGCCCAGAAATGTCCCCAGCTAGTAACTTCACCACTGCCTTTCCACACCAGCAATAACAGATCCGCCATTTGGAAGATTTTTTTTCTTGAGTTGTGTAGAATTTGAAAAATCAATTTTGTTCCCATGATTATAGCTATTTCAGATCAATCTGATGAATCCTAATTCAGTATCCGCGGATCGGAGCTGCAGGAGAACCAGGAACCTGTAACCAGAACCAGCGCTGCTCTCCTACGACCACGTAGCTGTGGGAGCCATCTTGATTTGGATTCATTCCAAAGAGGCAGGCGTGATGGTTACTTTTGGGGACTGGAATCTGTCGAGTGGTTTGTGAGATATTTAGCAAACATGGACACATTAATGCCTGCCTTGTGTCTTCCAGTAATGGACTACACGTATAAACAATGTAGTCTTAGACTCCCGGGAGCTTGTGCACTGTTTGTAGCATATTTTTGTTAAATATGAGTCAAACTTGCTTCCTGCTTCAGCTGAAATAAATCTGTGCGTAGCCTCGTTTGGCTCCATGTCCTCTTCCTGTGCATCACTCTTTCCATTACGTTCAAACTTATTAACCCAGCAGTTGGACATTTAACACGCCTGCGTGTGAAACCGCTGGAAAACCTGCAGAAGGACGGGAACATTTGGTTTGCTGTGCAGTCACTGGTTAACCAAATGTGTTGCAGATGCAATAGGAGCACATGTTTACCAGCTCCGCTTGTGTTTATGATCCGTGTGCTCTCAGGTACCAGGGAACTTCCACGTGTCCACACACAGCGCCACCGCGCAGCCCCAAAGCCCTGACATGACTCACACCATTCACAAGCTCGCATTTGGAGAAAAGCTACAAGTGAGGGCGCACACACACACACACACACACACACACAGAAACCAGGATTAGTTTGATCAAAACTGAAAACCATTTTCTCCTCTCTCAGGTGCAGAAGGTCCAAGGGGCCTTTAACGCTTTAGGAGGGGCCAACAGGCTGTCATCTAACCGTACGTGTTCACACTCATCATGAGCTCACTATAACCACCGTGTGACATTTACATAAACACCCTTGACGACATGTAATGATGCAGTGAAGTGAGATGCCAAGTGGGCAGTGTTTGGATCCAAACGGAGGAAAACTTGATTCACTAAGCTGACGCAGAACCTTTTAATGTGTCATCATGAAAACGTATTAGTGTCTGTGTTAATGATGGCTTCCTCTGCAGCTCTGGCCTCGCACGACTACATCCTGAAGATCGTTCCAACGGTGTATGAAGACCTGTCGGGCAAACAGAGGTTCTCCTACCAGTACACAGTAGCCAACAAGGTTTAGTATCCATGATGTTCTGCCTGACATCAGACCTTTATTGTTCTAATCCTCTTTTCTCGAAAGCAGCACCAACATTTAGGATTTATAGCTGCGTTAACTGGAAGTGAGATTTAACCTGTAGTGGTTAAAAACCCTAAATATGTCAACAAACCATAAAGAGAGTTCCTAGAACAGATTAGCCTGAAAAGTGGGCGTGGAGTGTTGAGTCACAACAGTGCAGCTTGGACACGAAGCACGGAAATCAGGTCTGATTCCAAAATGTAAACTCACCGAACGTCGACTCGGACCGGAGCTGTTGTTGTCGTGTCAGACGTGTTGATCTGTTTAAATGGTTATGTTTTAGAGATGGTTTATGGAAAACTCCCGACATTTGAAATGAATGAATTCTTCTGTATTCATTTATCAACTCAGCAGGATTAACTTCCTCAGTGCTGATTGCTGACTGATCTTTTCCCTGTTTCCATGCAGGAATACGTTGCTTACAGCCACACGGGCAGAATTATCCCAGCAATCTGGTTCAGATACGACCTGAGTCCCATCACGGTCAAGTACACGGAGAGGAGACAGCCCTTTTATCGCTTCGTCACCACGGTGAGTCGGCCACACACATTCCCCTGGACTAAAGTCAGTGTGTCACAACACCGGTTACACTACTCTCCAGCTCGTCTGTGTGCAAGGTCAAAGGTCCTGAGCTAATATTTATCAGAACAACTTTTTCAAATGAATACGTTTATTATAAGCTACGCGCAGCGTCGGAGCTCCGCCCACGCACATCACGCCCTATGCTTGGGCACCACGTGGCCAGGGGTTCACCAACCAATCAGGGTTGTGAAATACGACTGTCGGTGATGTGCTGAGCACGTCATCCCAGGCAGGAGGAGATATAAGAACAAACAAGTCATTTGAGGGTCTCATGAGCTGTTTTGAGGGTTAATTTCATTTAAAATCAGCTGGTCCTGAGCCCATCTACTTCCGGACCACGGGTCCCCGGAAGAAGGAAAACACTGAATGCAAGTCAACGGGGCTAAAAAGGCTATTTTCTATTTCTGCTTGGTATGTGCCGTGGATTCCACGTGTGATGTCCGCGAATTTTAAAGAAGCATTTTGGGGAACGATATTTTGGGTTTCGTGTCAAAATGAGTCCAGGATTACAAAAGCACTTCACAGAAGAGACCTCATCGAACCAGACGTGGAGAAAACAGAGAGAAACATGCTGTAAGTTCAGCGAACATCAAGTCCTTCCCACAGGAGGAAAGAACCACCATAAATCTGGCCATGTGGTTGGTAGCAGTACGCTAGGGGAGAGGACATTATGTGGTGACGTCAAAAATGCGACGTGCCGATGTCTGGTTTGTAGTCATGCTAATGACGCACTTTTACAAGTTGATAAATCTCAAAGTACGTGACTGGCGTGGTCGAAACACCATCGTTAATTTTCATTTGAACTGCAGTACGATATGTGTGTGATCCAGGGCGTGAGGCAAAGCGGATTAGAAAACAGCGTTTTAGCCCTGTTGACTTGCATTCAGTTTTTCATTGTTCCTGGGACCCGTGAGCCGACCGGTAAGGGAGGGACTTGGAGTAAAGAACTTCACAAACATGTTTTTTATAGACCAGAGAACTATTGGGCCATTCCCATCTGTACCGGGTCGGCCCGCGCCGGGTAGCGTAGGTTGTTTACATATCTGGGTGGCCTGGTATTTTTCCGGGCCAACCAAGGCTCATTCTCAGCCCTCTTCTCGAGGGGGTCTGCTTCAGGCCGACCAGGGCCAACACACCCACTGCTGACAGCAAATTCACACCTTCCATTAGAGCAAGCCTCTGATTGGTGGGTAGAGTCAGCCCACATGGGCTTAAGGCAAGGATGTGTGGAATCAACCGGGCCAGGCTGGGGCTACCCGGCCCGGGCCGACCCGGTACAGATGGGAATGGCCCATTATATAACCCAAGACAACAAGTCCTGAAATGTCCCCTTTAACACCAACGTGGTGACGTCAGCATTTGTTAGGCAAATTTTAGTAAGTAGTAAGTACATTTTATATATAAAGCACTTATCAAATCACAAAGTGCGTCAAAATGGATCAAAACAAAACCGTCATCAAGTCATAATGATCCTAAAACAGAAATGGATCAACATCAGAAAAAATAAAGTCGTAAAATTATAAAATTTCATAAACAAAAGAAAGATAAAAAATTGAGTTAAAAATAAGAAAATAAAAGGTTTAGGTAAAAGCAGCTTTAAATAAATGGTCTTTAGCTGTTTTTTAAAAGGGTCCCGACGGTCAGTGCTGCGTAAGGATAAAGGACGATCATTTGCTGCTAAACATTTAGACGATTCCAAAGTAAAACTTCAAGAACACTTGACCTTAAGTGAGTTATCAACACACACCTCCAGATGACAACACCACTCTGCTTGCTGACTGTGTAAAAATGTTGTTACAAACTAATAAAACGTGTTTTTAGGTGATTTTAGGTGACTAAACACTTAAACATCCTCTAAAAATGTTGATGAGGTCAAAGCAGACCCAGAACAGTGAAGACTTCAGCATAAGCAGCTGTGTGTCCTGCCATCACTAAACTTCCTGATCTCACCCCAAGTCAGCTGAATGACTTCAGCTGATCCTGTTCGCTCATCAGGAAAGCGTCCCGCTGCTTGAAAATGTGCCCGGGGCCTAAATGAGCTGCCTGATTGACGAGCTGCTCCTTTGTTGGTCTTTTTAGTTGATTTTGATTGAACACGCCGCGAGTCTGAGAGATGAGTGTATTTACTGTGTCCTCATTAGTCATGGCTAAAAACTGTGAGTCAAAGGCGTTTTGGTTTTTTTCCAGCTCATACTGGGGTGTGAGTGTGACCCTGTAGGATCAGATCCAGCTGAGATCGAGCCAAACTTGAGCTAATGAAACTACTACAAAAGATCTAATGGGTTGATTTGTTTTCTGTAGATCTGCGCCATCGTCGGAGGGACGTTCACCGTGGCGGGAATCATCGACTCCTGTATATTCACCGCCTCGGAGGCCTGGAAGAAGATCCAGATAGGGAAGATGTCCTGAGGACGGACCGCTTCCTCTCGGGTTCATGTCGTATTTAGGAGAGTGAGGTTTCATAGCCTGGTAGCTAAATCCGGTCCTGAATGAAAACAATCTCCTGTTGGAGATCCGTGGACTATCCAGCACGTGGTCTAACTACCAGGCTGCACGTCTCTCTTTACTGAAGATCCTCTCCTCCTGCTGACGCGCGGACGCTGACTATCGTGTCTGCTTCCTCCTCATTAGCGTCCGGAGACGAGAGGGAATCTCTCGTTACTGACATGATTGATTTAAAGGTGTGTGTGTGCGCGCGTGCAGCATATTTTGTTTTTAAATGAAGTAAACAAAAATGTTGAGCAGATGAAGGCATTAATCAGTGTTTCGGTTACAAATGGGTTTGTTCCTCTGGTTTCTGAACCGCCTCATGCTGATTTTACGTTTGGTTCAGATCGGGTGTTTCGGCCTCTCCTTCGTTTCTCTGCATGTTACTGACGTGGCTCGACTTGTCTTCACATAAAACGTTTTTCTAGTTTATCTCAATGACTGATGGACAAATGCAATTACAGTGTAATTGGTATAGGTTGTGTTCTTGTGTTCTCCCAGCTGAAGAAGTCAGAACTTCTTAAACCTTTTCAACCTCCTTTTGTATCTCCGTTTCCTTTCCGAGTAAAGGTGCCCTTGAAGCTGGTGCTTTTGTCTGATCATTACTGAACTCGTCGGCTGATTGATCATTCCACCCTCTACTCTGCGTTTAGGGTTAAATGTGGAAAACACAACTTCCCACTGGTGATCAGTAACCTTTTCCATCACGACTAACGACCGCATCAATAGTTATTCATAGAAACTGAAAATGGGCCCTCTGATCTGGTCCGAGTCTGATCCTGAGGCTGTAAACGTGTGCGTAAGAGAGGGACTTTGAACTCAGCCTGAGCCGGCGCTCTGCAGGTCGTCCTCTGTGATGAAGAGCCTGCAGGACGGCTGTGAGCGGTCTCAGCCGCTTACGTCCACCTGTGGTAAGAGGTGCTCAGCGTGACTCACGCCTCCAGTCACCCTGCGTCCCTCTGTTTACCTTCGTCACTTATTACTTGTTAGCAGAATCCCAGCGTGTCCGCCTCCATTAAATGACGCCGATGACACGTAGGTTTGTTTGTGACGACTGGTGCATGGATCACACCTGTTGGATAAATATGAACGTAGTCTGTCCTGAGATCAGTGGCAGCTTTTAACACGACAATAATCAGAGATGAGAGGATACTTCTTTATTTTATTCCAATGCGAGTCATAAGTTGTACAAATAAAGAATATTTAGTAAAAGAAAAAGATCAAACATATAAATGTGTGAACAGAGAATATTTTTTTGGATCATTTTTGTCAGAGTGCTGCCACCCAGTGGCTGGTTAGAGGATGTCCTTCAGTAGAGGCCTAGCCTGAGAGAGGAGGAACGGTGAGATGAGTAAAAGCCAGCTCTGCTCAGAAGGAACCTGATCTCCAGTCACAGCAATGATCAACGTTTATTCCTCCTCTCTCAGACGATCAACACCTCCACCCTTCGCTGAGATCACACGTCAGAGGAAGCCAGGCAGGGGGTGTTTGGAGGGGAGTAGAAGTCGCAGAAGCCCTCCTCGGTCAGGTGGCCGTACTCGTTGTTGTAGAAGGTTTGTCCTGACAGCTGGCTGAAGAAGGTGGGTCGGCGGTCGGTGTTCTGACCCAGACAGCAGGTGGAGGTGGTCAGAGGCTCGGTGCTGCTGGTGCTGCTCATACGGCTGAGGGCAGGAGACAAAAACACTCGGGATCAGTCACGGGCAAATGGGCAGTAAACAAATCCCAATCCAAGAGATAATGCTGCATGCTGATGATGAGACTCGGCCACAAAACCCACAAAATTATCCCAACATCTGTAAAACTGGCTTATTTTGGGACCGTTAACATCTGATCTCAGATCAGCAAAGTTAAAACGTTCATCTCTCGAGTAAAGCAGTTTGGAGCTAAAACGTCTACAGCAGAAAGGGTTCTGTTTGCTCCAGCAGCTTTGATCTGACTGCTGCTGAAAACACTCCCAACCGCTAAAGAACCGGGGCCTTTGCTTTAGATGACTCACGCTGTTGTCTACTTACTCATGCTGATCTAGTTTCAGTACCCAGAACAACAGCGGGGGACTCTTCCTCAGTTTCCAAGCAAAAGAAGAATGTTTTTCTCGTTTTGACTGAAGCACGCTGCGAATGTGTGCATGCACGAAGCATCGTTTGCTAACGCGGATGAAAAGCTGCGTCACCATGTTTCCTCGCTGAGTAATGCTTAGTTTAATGTCACACGCTCACCACACCTGTGGGTCGTTTAAGTAAAACACATCATGCTCCGTGAGTGACCAACCTCTTCAGGATGGCGCCTCTGTGGTTGTGCTCGAGTCGCTCAAATTCTTCAGAAGCCAAAACCATCCCGCTGTCCGTCTGGTTGTCCTGAGAGGAGACACAGTTTGACACAGACGTCTGCTGGTTTTAGTGGTTATCGTCCCCAAAGTGGGTCAGATTTTCTACAGGTGATGAGAGGATGAGACGGCACACCTGAGGAGCTTTCTGAGACTGGGCCTCCAGGGGGAAGTGGTCAAACATCTTCACCCTGGGCTGAGCCATGTTCGAGGGTCCCACGAAGACACAGCCAGCAAAAGGGACACAGTTATAATACCTGAGATGTAAAAGGAGGGCTCATGAGGACTAAATCAGACCAGACTTCACTAAAACCTTCACTCAGGACTTACTAAAGTAGATTTAGTTTATTTATCTGAATGTTTGTCTGATCACATGATCACATGACATCAGGCTGTTTGTAAACGGATTATTAATGTTCCAACGGTTTAGGATTTGTATTTTATTTTTAAATCATTTAGATTTGTTCACGTCCCATCACTGTGCTGGATTGGTGTAAATCAGGGTACTTGTTGCTGTGTAACACGCGTTTGTATTCATCCTGGTGCAGCTCGGGATTCCCAACATCACAACTGGGAGTGGTGGGAGTAACTGATGAGCAGACCGATGTTTGTGCAGCTAGAAAAGCTCTGGTAAAGCCAACTTTTTCAAGTGTTTGAAAGATAAAGTGAGAAGAAAATTATGATAAAAAAAAAACAAATTTACATCCATGAAGCCAAATTCATCACAGAAATGCAACGTGTGTGAAAATGGGATGAATTTAATACAACTTATTTATTTCTGTTACCAACAAAAGGTTTGCTCCAAAAATCTCCTTGAAATGTTTTTGAATAATTTTTTGTTCTCCACAGGATCCGATGAAGATGAAAGGACTTGTCTCATGATAAATGGCCACACGTGTTCAGTAGGCCAGGGGTACCCTGCATGTTTTACTATGAACTATGTTTCAACACACCTGACTGAGGTGATTAACAGGCTTCTGCAGAGCCTGATGAGCTGCTGAACAGGTGATTCAACCACTGAATCTGGTGTGTTGGAGCAGAGAAACCACTAAAATGTGCTGGATGAATTATGCCCCGGGTATAGGCATTCAGCAATGACAGTTGCAGTGCCTGCCTCATAACCAGAAGGTTGTGGGACCTCCTTGCCTGCTAGTGGTTGTCTAAGGTCGAGAAGAAAATATTTTTTTTGGATAGATTCAGATTTTATAACTTATTTTTCTACCATTTCAGAAATAAAACATGTTACCTAACTTTTTTACATTTTGAGTTGATAGATTTTGCCAAATAGAATGACTAATGAGAACATGTTTAGCTCTATGTGTCAGAATGGCGCTTACGTGTACATAAATCTACCAACTCATCCTTTTGGTTGACCTGAATTGTTTAAAGAGAGATGTGCATCAGTACTCTTAGTAGAAAACTGCGGTGCCCGTCTGGTGACATTGAGGGAAAAACATTAACTCGTGGACACGAGTTATTAATGCGTGGCCAGGACACGGGGGTTGGATCCAGAGAGCAAATTTACATAAAGGGTCTCCTCTGAAAACCCCCCAAATCATTAACTTTTAGCTAATATTAGGTTTTATCATAAGGTCACTGATATTTGTTTTAAAGAATAATAACCAGTTGTTTTATTTAATTAATCAGGTCATCCAATAACACCGGTGATGCGTCTTTTCTTTCAGCACCATGGACAGATGGCGATTGTAAATAGTGTGTGTCCTCCTCTGTTATTTGTAGTGACTGGCTACTTTTATGTTTTTGAAGTACTTATCAGTGTATTCATTGGGTTACGTGCGACTGCACATGTGTGAACCAATAAACTGCACACAGGTGCACCTGTCGAAGAACAGGAGTTCTGAAAACACCGGCTTGTTCCAGTGGGGTTAGCCGGCAGGCGGGCTGGTATTCGTTTGATATATTTCCTGTCTAAAACCTATTTGGGTTCAATTTGCGTTAGATCTGGAAAAGACGGCTATCTCTCCCTGCGCACCATCAGAATATTGTTAAAGCACACATGATTCAGTGGTTGAAGCACCTGCAGCAGCTCAGGCTTGCAGAAACCGGTTAATCAGCTGCTGATTGAAACCAGGTGTGTTGGAGGAGGCGGGGTTAAAACTAAAACATGCTTTAGTGGTTTTTGGTTCTTTCCCTCTGGAGCTCCCCAGAGAGTGAGACACAGCTTTAACATCATTGAAATGACAGCAGACTAGACCCACTGGTGAGGTGAGCAGGGTGGGAGAGCCCCATAGCAGCTGAGATGGAGTCAGTGGAGGATTTAGCTATTTGGGGGCCTAAGGCGAACCCCTTACATAAATTTTTGACAAGCTTACCTTTAACTGGATTTGCGAAACTCTCCCCTCTTCTGCCATGAGTTATTTTCCCTTTTTATTAGTCCTCCTCTTTTTTTTTTCCTGGCTTTCCCTCCCCTTAAGTGCCTTCAATATTTGCTCTGCTTTCTTCTTCCTGTCAGTGCTCCTGTGCTTTTGCCTTTCTTTTTATTTTCTTCTATTTTCCATTTTGGTCTATGTTTTCCTCCCTTTAAACATTATCTTTCTTTTGTCTTTCTTTTCTGCTTCCTTTTGATGTGTACATTGCAAAATGACATCACTTTCGGAAGTGAAGATAAAAGCTGTTTTAAGCAAGCTGCATCTTTCTCTTATCAAAGCCACTAGGATAACTCCATTTCATGCTTAATGTTTTGACTATCGCTTTGAGTTTGTTACAAACTCTCCCGTCTGTCGTCTTCTTATTATTTGTGGTCTTATGGCACTTTGCAAACAACAATTTGGTGCATTACGGCCACCAACTGGATTGGAGTGGAATGACTACCAATCACTTCTTGTTTGTGCATCGGCGTCTTAAAGGAATAGTTCATTGTAGGATTAACCGAGAGGTGCCAGTGGTCAGGGCGAGGGGGCCCCCTCATGTTGGGGGCCCCAGGCAACCGCCGACCTATACCTAATGATAAAACTGCCACTGGATGGAGTGCGAATGTAAGCAGGGCACGCACTCGTTGGGGACGCTGTTGCACGGACGCACTGTCACGCACATGCGCCCTGGACATGGATAACCAGCTGGTTATTATTCTTTAAAATAAATATCAGTGACCTTATGATAAAACCTAATATTAGCTGAAAGTTAACGATTTGGGGGCTTTTAAGAGGACATCATTTCAGGAAAGCCGTTCTCTGGAACACACCCTTCATGCATTTTTAAGTCATGGCCACGAGTTATTAACTCGTCCCCACGAATATCCCATGGCTGAGTAATTTTTTTTTCATCAATGCCACCAGATGGGCTCCGTATAAAAGTAGCCAGTCACTACAAATAACAAAAGAGGAGGGCAAACACTATATTTACAATCGCCGTCTGTCCATGGTGCTGAAAGAAATCTCGAGGGAACCAAGCACCCACAATGCGGTACAGAAATTGAGGCCAATGCGGAAGTGAAATAAATTGCAGTTCCTCCCTCATCCGCTAGGGGCTGGTGTCAGAAACGAGCAAATCCTCATTGACTCCCATGTTAAAAATACCAATTTCATAGCAGAAATAAACATGTTTACAGCCTGGTTCCAAAACATGTTTTAGATTTAATAGATCTAGTTTACACTCATGACAACTCTGAGGGGGGTGAATTTTTTGTCACTCTTCTGTTTAAGTGTATTAAATGCCTAATGACTAATTAATGAGCATCAGACCCACGTGACCACAGAGCTAGCTCCAGGGAAAGGCCTTAGTCTGAGCCTCGGTCTCGCCTGAAAACTGTTCCACGATTGTTAGTCTACCATACCATGTTTATTTATATAGCACATTTAAAAATAGCATGACAGCTGACCAAAGTGCTGCACAGTAAAAAGGACGAACGCCAAGATAAAAACAGATAAAAGTCATATAGGAGGTAAGAGGTAAAATAAAAAAAAATTGTAAAAGAATCATACAACAATAAAATACAGAGACACAATAAAACATAAAAACACTAAAAACTAGATCATTGAATAAAAGCTAAATGATAGAAGAAGGCCTTCAGTCCCGACTTAAATCGACCCAGTTCTGGGGCCTGTCGAACACTAAGGGGGAGAACATTCCAGAGTTTAGGAGCAGTGAACGCAAAGGCCCGCTCTCCACGAGATTTATACCTCATTTTCGGGACGCACAAAAGCAAATGATCTGCAGATCTCAGGTTCCTGGTTGGAGCAAGGCTTTATCAGTTCTGAAAGATAAGCCGGGGCTTGACCATTCAGAATGTTGTAGACAAAGGTCAAAACCTTAAATTGGATGCAGTATTTAACAGGCAGCCAGTGCAAGCGTGCAAGGACGGGTGAAATGTGACAGCGTCTCGAGGTGTTTGTCAGGAAACTAGCCACCGCATTTTGCACTCTGTAGATGCTCGAATGCTGAGGCGCTGACACCAACAAGAAGTGAATTGGCATAGTCTAAACGTGTTCTTACAAAGGCGTGAACAGCAGACTCCAGCTGAGGTCGTTTGACTATTGACTTTAAGCGCGAGATGCAACGTAGTTGGAAAAACCAAGACGTGACTGTAGAGTTAATTTGTGAACTCATTAACAGATCAGAGTCAAGTTTCACTCCCAGACTGGATACACAGGATTTAAGATTTAAAATTGGTAGAGGGAAGTCACCAGGTGCATGCTTTGGATTTATTGGATTAAAAAGAATGGCGTCGGTCTTGTTTTCGTTAAGGCAAAGGAAGTTCTCCGACAGCCAGCCTTTAACTGCAGTAATACAGTCGACAAGGAGGCGTGTTGAGTCAGGTTGACTTAACGCCAGATAAATCTGGTAATCGTCTGCGTAAAGGTGATAACGTATTTCAAGCATAGGCGTCATTTTAACCGGGGACGCCGGGGACATGTCCCCGGCAAAAATTGTGATTGGCAGCTGTGTCCCCCTCACTTTCAAAAACGCCTGCTGATGAGGATTTTTGTTTTACCAGCTCAGATCTTATACCAGGGGTCGGCAACCTGTTCCCATCAAAGAGCCATTATTACCCATTTCCCACAGTAATGTTGGACGGACCTTAATAAGCAGCGACTTAAGTGAAGCAGGCAGGTCGCGCTAGAAAATTTCGTTTAAAAAGACGTCATAAATGTGTTCCCCCGTCCTTTTTATTTATAAAATATGAAGTAAAAACTCACAATTTAATTTACATTCATTTGTCATTAATATGTAGTCTACAACCGTGCATTAAGTGGACCATCTTCCAGTAAAAGCAAAGCATCCAGCCCACCTCTCCAAATGCGTAAAATGTGCATCAGCCGCTAGTTAGGCGCGTCGCGCGCTCCGTCAGCTACGTCAGCCCAGACAAGAGCAGAGCAAATAGAGAAAGAATAGAGGATAATTGTGTCTGGATGTGGATGGAGATTACATTTTACAGCAGCCTGATCATCATTTAAATACGTAAACCATCACCTGTCTTCTAGTCCATGCTATCAGCATTATTTTAATTGGTGTGTGTGTGTGTGTGTGTGTGTGTGTGTGTGTGTGTGTGTGTGTGTGTGTGTGTGTGTGTGTGTTTTCCACTTCAAACACTGGTCTAACCAACCAGACCTGTGTGTCCAGTAACATATTAATGTTACAATTAAACAGTTTCCCTTCATGTAGGCTAGGAACGTTTCACCTGCCGTGGCCCGACCGCTTCTGCTCCACATAAACTTTGTGCGTGATCAAATGTCTCTACGTGTCATGCGTCTCCATATTAGAGACGGAAACAAGCGCTGTTCAGCCAAAGTTTCATAATTTCATAAAAAGAACATTTTTCCAAGTGACACATCCCTCAGAGAGACCGGGTTTCCAGACTGTTTCAGTGGGAGGAAATCTTATCGCATGCGCTGTTCTGCACTGCGCTGCGAACCCCAGATCTTCAGCTCACTGTCCACCGTGGGCGCTCCGAGCCGCGCTGAACACAGTGTCCAGTATAAAGCTCTGATGTTCTGATGGGAATATTTTACCTCCGCAATGTGCGTTAACGATTAAAATGTCAGCTCATCCATGCGCATCAGTGTGTGTCGGGGTAATTCTTTCAAACCAAGCAACATCCTTGAGTTCATCTGTCAAAATAAACAGTCAAATGGAAATATCTGTAACCTGCCGTTTAACTGTTTTGCCTTCTTGTGAAGATTGTTGCAAAGAGAAACAATTAAACTTGATTAACCCCAGAGCCACCCAGAGAACCAGAGCGCATGCGGGAAGGTTCCTCCCACTGAAGCGAGTGTTTTCCAAACCCGGTCTCTCAGAGAGACTTGTCACTTAGAAAATGTTCCCTGATTATGAAACTTTGGCTGAATAGTGCTTGTTCCTGTCTCCAATGTGGCGACACATCCAGGAGCCTGTCTGAGGAGAATCCCAGAATCTCACATCCTCTTCAGCTCAGAATGCGCCTATATGATTACGCACAAGCGTGACGCGCCAACCCGGTCTCACAGTAAGACCGGGTTGGAACTGTTCAGGTTTACGCAGACAATCTTTACATTTAGAATTGGCATACAGATGTAAAATTAATGCAGTAAAATATAAAGCATTTTATTTAAATATCCATTCATTATTTTACAAACAGAGAGCCGCATCAGATGGATGGAAGAGCCGCATGCGGCTCCAGAGCCGCGGGGTGCCGACCCCTGTGCTAGCCTACTTTATTGTCCCCAGCAATTTTTAAACCCCACCCAAGTGTATGGTTATTGTCCCCAGCAATTCTGAAAACAAACTGACGCCCTTGATTTCAAGGTTAGTCAGAATCATCCCCAATGGCAATAAGTTAATCGAGAATAGGAGTGGCCCTAGAATCGAACCCTGAGGCACACCCCAGCGACGTGGAGTAGATGGAGAGGAAAAACTGTCGATGTGAACACTAAATTGTCTATCTGACAAATATGATCTGAACCAATGGAGTGGGATCCCTGTTACCCCCAACCTCATCTCCAACCTCCTAAGTAGGATGTCATGGTCCACTGTGTCGAAGGCAGCAGAGAGGTCCAGGAGTAACAGAAGGACACGGGAACCAGAATCATTTGCCACCAGGATATCATTTAATACACGAAGATGTGCAGTTTTTGTGCTGTGGTGAGGTCTAAAGCCAGACTGAAAGTGGTTGAGGAGGCTATGATCTCCTAAGTAACTGGAAAGTTGAGTGTGAACTACTTTCTCAATAATCTTGGATAAAAACGAGAGTTTGGAAATCGGACGATAATTAGAAAAATCTGTATGATCCAGGCCAGGTTTTTTCAGTAAAGGATATACAACTGCATTCTTAAAGGTGGTTGGAAACACTCCAGTCTAAATGCTGTTGTTGACGATTTCCAGAATAAATGGCACCAGCACAGAAAGAGCCCCAACTAGTAGTTATGGTGGGAGGGGGTCCTCTGGAGAACTTAGACCATTAGTTGTAGCGTTTGTGCGTTCTTTTTTTGGATATTATTTGGGCAATTTTTTGGACAAAATGACTTGCTGTGGCATTAATTGCGCTAATAGAGCATCCAAGGAGTCTCCACTTCATTTTTTTCATTAAGTAAAATTATATTTATGCATTTTAGGTCACTGCCACTCTTGCACTAGCTGAGCTTAGATTTTAACATGTACTGTTTAATCATGAAATTTAAATGTAATAGGGTAAAACCCAGTGCATTTAACATAACCCTGCATTTTAGAAAATGGGTTGAAACATAACATGTTGGTGGAGCTGGGTTCCGATTATCGGTATGGTCCCCTCAGCTCTGCGCATCTCTGATTGCCGCAGTGCTTGTCTGTGGGCTGCCGGCTTGTGGAGCTCTGGGATGGAAACCGATGTTTTCCACCCGGTTCTCCCCATCGGCAGCTCTGCGCATCTCTGATCACAGCGGCGCTTGTCTGCTGTGCGGCTTGTGAAGCTCTCGGGTGACCTCTGTGTTTCACTCGGTTTTACCCAGCGGTCAGCCCGGGGTATCTGTGACTCAGAAGCTCTGGTGTTGTGCCGTTAACTCCGGTTGTAGCTAGGTAGCTACCTCCATTAGCTTAGCTCCCACCTCAGCGCTAGCTGTGGGTTAGCTTCAGGTTAGCTTATAGCTACATTAGCTTCAGCTCGACGGGTGTCGTCATTTGATCCCAGCCTTACAGCCCCACCCTCAGCTCCACCTCTCTTCCCTTTTGTGGAATTGTCTGGGCTTGACGGAACCTGTGACACGGTCAAAATGGTGGTGGCCACCTCCCATTTTGGCTTAAAAAACGTATTATTGGAGGCTATGGAAACCCATTGTCCATATATGTATGTCGATGGTGGGAGCGTATTAAGTATGGAAACCCATTGTCCATATATGTATGTCGATGGTGGGAGCGTGTTAAGTAGCTCGTGGCAACGAGTTTTTTTTACATCAATGTCACCAGATGGGCTCCGTAGAAACTATGTTACGTCAATGTCACCAATGTTAACTAAAAACATTAAATATACATGAGTTTTACCCATATGTTTACATTCTGTAAACTTCCTGAACCTTTGCCTCAGCTACAAAAATAAATAAATAAATACATATTTCTTGTTTCATGGAAATAATGTAAAATAACCATTACAAGATCTCAGTCAGCCTGGTATTATATGAGACTGAGGAGCAATGTGGTCTAGTTTTGAGCTCTTGTGAGAAGGTGTTATACCTGGTGGACATCGTGCTGAAAGCCTGTCTCAGCTCCTCCTCAGATGCAGGTCGGGATGAAGCCTGTGAGAAACCATCATCTTCTGAGTTTTGTGAGTTGTTCAGGGGGTTGTGATCCTTCCCATCCTGAATGGAATTAAATCAAATTGATGTTATTAGAGAAAAAACCCCAACAACAATCATAAAGTGGTGGGTTGATCCCGAGAAGCTCACAGGCAGGCTGTTGTCCTGCAGCAGGTCTGCCAGGATCTGAACCAGAGCAGGAAACGTGGGCCTCTCTTTGGGTTCACCCTGCCAGCAGGCCAGCATGATGCCATATCTACCAGCAGAGGGCAGCAAAGTCACACCAACAGAAGAACATCTATCAGTAATCCAGTTTCCTGTGCGTAGGTGTAAACTGAATGACGAACTGGTCTGAGCAGTTACATAAATCTGGCAGGAAAAGGCCATTTTTCCCTCAGAATGAGGAGGAGACAGAAAGAAGAAATATTTACATTTCTGGGGAGGCCGTCTCTGGTGCTCTCATCCTGAAGCCATCCTTCAGCCTTTTGCAAAAATCCTCATCAATCTGAACCCCGGGGTATGGAGATGCACCTGGATGGGGTGTTTGGATAAGAAGGGCAGCCTTTAATTTCCTTCTTGAAGCCAACAAATAATAAATAGGCAGAAAAACATTTTGAAGGTCCGGACTCTCCTGCTGGAGTTTGTAATAAAATGATTTCTTTTCTGATTTTATAATTACCAAGAGAAAAGATTTCCCAGAGGAGGACTCCAAAAGACCACACGTCACTCTGGCTAGTGTAGACTTTGTCGAAGATGCTCTCTGGAGCCATCCACTTCAAAGGGAGGCGAGCCTGTGAGAGCATCGACAGACACACAATCAGCTGTTAAACAGCACCTCTACATGGGCGGGTTCATAAACACAAAGTATCCTATTGTTTATTTGCAGCGGATGGATAAGAGAGCAGGAAGTGTAGCTGCTGCTGCAGAGAGGAGGAGGAGGACGTACGTTGCCTTTCCTGACATAGTCGGGATCTTTGTAGATGTCTCTGGCCAAACCAAAGTCACAGATCTTCACAATGTTGTTCTCTGACAGGAGGATGTTTCGTGCTGCCAGGTCTCTGTGAATACACTGCAGAAACACACACACACACACACCCTTGTCAGTGCTCGGCAAATAGAAGTTCGTGCATGTGTGAGAAGTCCTCTTTCGAAGGAGGCTTAAATATTTTCAGAGTGGATAAACAACTTTACACTCTTAGGGTCAATTAACATTGAAAGTGACTGCGTGTGTGTGTGTGTGTGTGTGTGTGTGTGTGACTGGATTGTGACGGTATTTTGAAGATACACTTTTAGACTTTAAACTGACTGACCACCAAGTTGAGCTGTCCTGTAACAACTTTATTCACTACAGATCTCTGCTGGTTCTAATATGTTATCATATTTGTCACATTTATCACAGCATCTGTCTGCATTCCTTCGTGGGGGGTTGTTGTTAGCATCTCGAGGCTGCTCTGGCGTCAGATTCGGATAACAAGACTTTGTTTGGGTCAGGCTGAGATAATTTTCCTCTCTGCCTTCAGTGTTTAAACTGATCACTCAAGTCCTCCAGTGAAGCCAATTTGGGTTTTTAAGCTTGCCCATACCGTCCGGTGACCCTCTCCGAGATGGCATCCATTTTGCGCACTAATACCGGTATCGCAGCTAGAACATTGTCCAGCTTACGATTCACCTCGAGTAATGTCCCAGTCTGTGAGGTCTCCACACGGACGGTGCTTTCCGTGGGTGCGGGTCGCCCTCCAATCGCTCCAGTCTTCCCAAATTACCAGAAAACCAGATATCCTCCCACTCCAATCAGGAGAAATCCAGTGATCATCAGGCCAAATATCCACACGTCTTCAACGTCCTCAATGGACAGCTGAGAGAGGCATAAGATCTTCCACTCCTTCTAGGAATCCAGCATATACCCCGCCGGGTGTGTCCACTGCGGGCAAGTGGGAGCCCCCTGCTCCGTTCTCATTGTTGAAAAAATTTTATCAATCGTGTGGAATGACCAATTTATCAAATCCATGGTTAAAAATAGGGTTTTCAGAAGAAATGCAGACAAGCGCTCTGTGGGCAGACAGGACAAAGAGCCTTGGGAAAAAAGATAAGGGAGCAAAAAGAGAAGCGTCTGTACTCTGCGAGTGCCAGGAAGAACTTTACCTGAACCTGTCTGACAACATGAAGTAGGCCAAAGGACCTCAAAAGCAACACATCTTTGCCAGAAGAGTCATTCTGATGATCCCCCTAGCCTTCCAAAATGGTGCTGTGTCCCGATAAATCCGGTGTGAAACTAACCCAACATGTTAGCAAAACATCATAGCAACCATCAAGCATGGTGGTGGTAATGTGGTGGTCTGGGGCTGCTTGCTGTAACAGATGGAACCAAAATTTCATTTTTTTTATTAAGTCCTTGTCATGGCCGGTGGCCATCTTGTTTTTCTTTTTTTTTTCTTTTATGTGTTTTTGCAGGTTGTGTTGCAGTGGCAGCATTTCTCCAGCTAGCTCTGCCATTAGAACAAGTTCCCCAACTCCAGATGTAGCGTGTGAGACCTCTACTAGTCAGTCAGATTTTTTTCTGTGAAATTCGGCAAGAGGAATAGATAGGTGTAGTTGTAGTTATAGTTCGACTGAAGATAATCAAATCGGTACAGACAATATTTCTGATGTGGATTACTTTTTACCTCCATGGTGAAGATTTCCAGGCATGTCCCCCTGGAAGGAGACCTAAAGGATGACCCCAGACACACTGAAGGAACCATGTATTGAAATGTATTTCTCATGTTGGATAAATAATGGAAAATTGATTTATTATTTTAATATCTCTGGTTGAAGCGTTGCTGGCAAATCAGATATATTCTGAAACAGCTGATATTACACATGGAGTGCCACAGGGTTCAGTTTTGAGACCCCTTGTTTTTACTATACATTCTTACCCTAGGGTAGACAATCCACAACTTCAGCAATATATCATAACATCTGCATGTGGCATGCTTTACTGATCCTTCAGTGAGAATGAGTTGCATGTCTTCCCTTAAAGTAACTTTCCAGAGTTTTCCCTTTTCAGAAATTATGATTTTTCAGAAATCCATAAAAGTGATTATCTCATCATGTACTGTAATACAATGTAAGCAACATGTCACTTATTTTTGCTACGCACAACCCCTGCCCCGCAGGCATCATTTGGAATCCTAGGATGCCCAAGGAAGGTCCCGCCTTTCTTGCCTCTGATTGGGTAGAAGGGCTCTCCTATGATTGGCTATTGGCTATTTTGTGTAAGAGGAAACAGTTGTCCTTGCTGCAGGTTTTTAAGTTTACAGCCAGATCTTGAGGAGTTTTTTGAAGAAAATGTAGTCATCGCTATAATAAACATCCTTTCTTGTTTTGCAACAAACCAGTTTCAGTTTCTTTCATAAACGAACCTTTAAAATGTCAAATGTGAACTTGTAATGAATCTTGTTGCATTTTATCACTGTTAGACTGACTTTTTATTTCCATTTAGCTCTATTGGGGTTATCTTATTACTTATTAGACTATCCTATGTCTTCACTTTAATAAGTTAAGGCTGTTAACAAGTTAGAGCACATCTCTCATCATCAGATTAAATGTGTATCATTTAATCAAAAATTAAGCTAAAGCTGATAATGATTTAGACCTATTTTTCACCAGTTTTCATTATCCTAGAAAAGAAACAGACCTGATGCACACAACTGGGCAGAATAGGGCAGTTTTAATAAATGTCATACCCAGGCAAGGCACATATGTTTATCCTATGTACTCTAATACTTGACAGCCAAGAGATATAAAGTAAGTCCAACAGTTTGATAAATGCAACAAGATTATGAATTCACATACAATGTTTTGGAAAACAGGACAGAATGGTTATTATAGTGCTAAGTTCACATTTTCTTTCCAAAAACCCCCAAAATCACTTTCTGCTGGTGGCAGAAGCACAGTCTGCACTTAGCGAGGGCAGTCGGTTTGCTGCTAAATGAAACAGCTAATCGTAGTAGAGCCTTTCTAGCCAATCAAAGGCGTGATCTTCCTTGGACATCCTAGAATTCCGCTAATCTCCATGCAATAGGAAATAGAGCGCCGACCAGTAGCGTTAAACTACCCTGCTTCAAATTTAAGGAATACCTTGGCTGATGCAGAGTCAATTAACTTTTCTCGAACAAGTAAGTCTTTGAAATATAAATATATGAGAACACAACACAAGATGAGAATAATACTCGTAAAACGTGTTTTAGCTCTGTTTGTCGTCTACAGAAGCACATTCATAAATAAAAACCGTAACGTCGCCATCTTAAAAACAGACCCATTATTTGTGTGATATGCTTGTCAGCTACTACATGGTGCCATCGGATGAGAGGAATACTCTGGAAAGAGACTTAAAGGATTGTCTGTTTCAAATCAAATGTTGGTTGAGAAGTTCTTCCTTCAGCTTAACACTGGAAAGACAGAGACCTTAGTTATCGCTCCTGGGAGTAGGCTCCAAGTTATAAAGGTCACCTGGGTACAGTGGCTTCTTCAGCTCGGCTGACTCTGACACACAAATCAGTTTGTCAAAAACTTTCTTTTCCAGTTAGGAAATATTTTGAAGCTTAGAACCATGCTTTCTAAGAAAGAGCATGTTACGATGATACATGCTTTTACCTCTTCTTGGCTGGATTACTGTAACAGCATTACATTAACTATAAAAATTAAATGTTTTGTCTCAAAATTTGTGTGATGTCTAATGTTTGTCTCAGAGAAAAGTGGGCACTGTCATACATTCAGTGTGTAATTCATTGTGTTCCATTTAGACAATTGTGTTTTCAGTTTTGCTCTTCAGTGTTCTTTCCATGCTTGGTAGTGTTCACCCAAAGGCTACTTGTGTTTAAGCAATGGATGGTATGTGTGTGTCATGTGAAAATGTGGCTGTGTTTACCAAATGAAAACACTTTGGGAACATGTTACGATGTGTGATGGCAGGGTTTTGTTGCAAAGGGAAGCCGCGGTCTAGGAATTTGGGGTTTTGTGTGTGCAGTTTAGAAAAACGAGTTTTAGCAATTGAAAAAAAAACTGTAAAAAGCAGCTGAAAATGCAGCTGTTTACTCAGGCTTTTTACAACCCTTACTGATTTTTATTTAGTGAAGCTTTGTTCTATGCTTTATGATTTATAGTTTTGAGCTTATGTCAATTTTGTGGTATTCATTTTATCCTTTGAAGCTTTCTTTAATGCCGTTAAGCCTTTTAAGTTTGGTAGTCACTCTTCATGGTATCATATGGTTGTTGTTTTACCACTTTGCTGTTGTGAAGCACTTTGTGACTGTTTCTATGAGAAGTGCCATGTGAATAAACATTACTGCGTCTGTCAGTGCGCCCCAGGGCAGCTGTGGCTACATCGTAGCTCATCCCCACCAGTGTGTGAATGTGTGTGTGAATGGATGAATGATACACTGTAGTGTAAAGCGCTTTGGAGTCCTTACTCTGAGAGGTGCTATACAAGTGCGGGTCAATTATCAATTACTTAATTTTTGCTGATCTGAACCATTTTAAAGTGGCAAAATACAAAAACAGAAGAAATCCGTGAAGAGGAAATTATTTTCATGTCTGTGGCTGTAAATATTTTAATAATTATAATAACGCATCAAACATTTGAACAGCTTTTACATGAATAAAAACGGAGCACAGAGGACTGAAAAGCCAGCGCATGGCCACCCTAAATAAGAACTGAAGTTGTGACGCTAATCTCCACTCAGCACAGCTCATCTAGTCGTTTTGACAGGAGAGAGCAACACTTAACCTTTCTCGAGGCCAGGAACTCCATCCCACGGGCCACCTGAAAGCTGTAGCAAATTAGATCTTCTATCGTCAGCGGCGTTTTCCACAGGTCATCCACTGGAGAGGGAAACGCAGGAAAGAGTCATGAAGGACAAAGGGTCAAAGGTCAGTTTTACCCTCATGGTGTCACAATGACTCACTTTTCTCCACCACAGGGTGCTGACTGCACTCCTTGGATGATGAGGAGGAGGACACATGATGTGGCTGACAGGTTCTTTGGTGCATCTGACCCGCTTCAATCATCCGCCTCACCTGGCTTTGGGTTTTGGGAGAGCGGTCCTGAGCAGAGCACAGACGGATCATCTCCAGAATTGAAACAAAATGACGTGTTAACTTTTGACCGCTAACTGAAAACGGATGTAGAAATTATACAAATGAAAATCCAGCTAAAAACTCCTGTGTTCCTAATGGGGTCAGATGGACCCCAGGTGTTTTTTTCTCATTACTTTCTTCCAGTAGTGAGTCTTCCTGTGAGCATTTCCAGGGTCTTGCTTCTTGCGGTCCTGGTCGGGTCCAATGGACCTTGTATGTGCTGTTTCAAGTTTTGCTGGTCTTTCTCTCAGTTTTTTATTTTCACTAATCCTGCTGCAGCAAACCCTCTGTGTAGAGTGTTGGCTCAATTGTAGTGTTTGTTTTATTCTCTTCTTTATTATTTCCAACCCACCCATGTCCCTACTTGTGTCCAATTAACCCCAGGTGTTATTTTTCTAGTTTTGAGGAGCGAGCACCACCTCACCCCTGCCACGGTCACCCCAAGGGGTAAAACATCAACCCTGCTCAAACATCCCATCCTGGAGGGGTCGCCCAACAGCACAGTGGCAGTGTTGTACAGAAAAAGTGGGGTTTTAACAGCAGAGACAAAAATAGTAGAGTTTAGCGTGAGTCAGAGTCTGGTGTGTCTTGGTACCCTGTAAGGAAGGAAGAACTCCCGCTTGGCTCGCAGGAAATTAGACAGATTCCCATATTTGCAGTATTCCACAATCACCATCAGAGGCCCTGAGGAAGCAGAAGATGGACATGATAACTACTCATTCACACACACACACACACACTCTCTCTCTCTCATTGACATAAAACATCAAACCTGTGGAAAAACATAGAAACAACAAAGGAAAATGTTAATTTGACTTTAACAACAGGGCTGCACGGTGGCACAGTGATCAACGCTGTTGCCTTGCAGCAAGAAGGACCTGGTTTCACGTCCCAGTCTGGGGTCTTTCTGCGTGTTGCACATTCTCCCTGTGCATGTGTGGGCTCTCTCTGGGTACTCCGACTTCCTCCCACAGTCCAAAAACCTGACTGTCAGGTCGATTGGTCTCTAAATTGTCCTTAGGTGTGTGTGCATGGTTGTCCTGTGTGTCTTTGTGTTTCCCAGCAATGGACTGGCAACCTGTACGGGGTGTACCCCACCTGTTTGCCCGAAGACTGCTGGAGATAGACACCAGCCCCCCCCACGACCCTGCATGGAGAAGCGTGTCTAGACGATGGATGGATGGATGGATGGATGGATGGATGGATGGATGGGGTGGACTTTTACAATATAAAGGAGTGATGAAGCATTAAAGCGTGGTCTGGACTCACCGTTGGGTTTGGTGCAGGCTCCTAACAGATTAACCACATTCACATGGTTCCCGATGTGAATCAGTATCTTTAACTCTGACATCAGAGCTTTGTGCTCGCTGGCTGTGGCTCCATCTGAAACACACAAAGTTTCTCTTTCTTCTTTGTTGGACAGCAGGCCTTTCCTTTTACACCAGACATTTTATATACATGTATATTTTCCCCTAAACAAATGTAGCGGCTCTTGGGGTCTGCAGGTGTGACTGCTGCTTCAGCAGCTTCACACACGGGCAGTTGTGACTAAAATGTGGCTCGAGCCAAGTGATGTTTGTTGACAAAAGCAGACTTTGTTAGTTTTCAAGGAGAAACTTTTCTTCATCTCACACCTGCAGTTTTACCCAAAACACCTGAGCCCCAGCAGCTTTTGATAAATCCTGGAATCTGAATGGTTCTTCTCTGCATTCAGCAAAGACAGGGCAGCAACCTGATTGGGTTTTATTAGATTCATTCAGAGGTTTGCTGCTTTTTTTTTATAACGGAGAAGTGTTCGGGTTAATGGCACATTGGCGGACCCTGGTGGTGATATGTGGTTACCGCATCTGAAAACAGCTCAGTCATCACAACTGCAACTTGCAGGTGCAAATTATTAGAATTATGATCAATGAGGCTATGTTTAATGCATTCATAATGTGAACATGTTTCTAATTCATGATTCAACTGATGTTTGTTTTACATTTGAAATATGATGAAATAATAATTACATTTTTACATTTTTGACACGTTTTATTGAATCGCGTTTGACACTAATGTTTTAGTGAGTATCCCATCAAAAAATACTCACCAGCCACCACTGATTAGGTGAGAAATGAGTTCTGACATGCTGATAAATTCAGATCTGATGAGCTAAACCATCAAATACGATGTCATAGCCACCTGAACAGACTGCTTCCAATGAGGAGCAGCAGCTGTTTTATTTCAGGCTCACGCTGGATTACGGAGCTGCTCATCTTATCTCCACGGCCGAGTTATGTTAGTCACGATCTAAAGCTAATAACTAATTAATCAAGAGCTTAGCTTCTTCTTCCTCACCACAGTCCAAATCAGGGGGTTCATCTTGAACACTATGGTGTCAGCCTGTGGGAGGAAGACGGTTGGATGAGGATCTGATTCTCATCTATGCTTCACACTCAGCTGTAGAATTTCTGCAGTGTGTGTAGAAAGTCCTGGCTTAAAAACGATAACAAAACCACATCGTCTGCAAAAAGCAGAGCTGAGACCCCGAGGTCCCTAAACCAGGGACACATCACTGAGCATGAGCATACTGACCCGGCTTTCTTTGGTTGTGCAGGGGCTGGATTACACACTTAGACCCACGTCCGAGTCTACAAAACACCTGGACAACTAGCCTCCACAGAGTCCCTCAGCAGCTCCACAAGGATGAAGAACTCATTTCCAAACCAAAGCCAAGTCTCACCTTTCAACATCTTGACCGCCACTGTGTCCAAACTGCTGCTCTTCCCAGTGCCATAGATGGACGCTTCTATTACCTTTCCAAAAGCTCCGTGACCTAAAACCTTTCCTGTCAGGAAGAAACAGACAAAACAACACAGTTTGTCTCACGTCTCACCAGAGGACACACACAGATGCCTTTGGACACGCGTAGCGAATCAAAGTGGAAGGACTTAAGAGTATTAGCTGCAACATGTTTCCATGAGATGCTGTGGTGGAGCTGATGCATTTCCTGTTTGTTCTGGGAATAAGTGAATATTCAAAAGTAGCTCTCTGCACAGCTGGCTCTGATCCAAACTATTAAAACAATTCAGTATCCTCCCTCATCCCCATAGCGCGCGCGCGCGCACACACACACACACACACACACACACACACACACACACACACACACACACACACACACACACACACACACACACACACACACACACACACACACACACACACACACAACGCCTCTAGCCATGCTTTCTGTCCCACTTTTCCTGGTGGCTCACCCAGCTGGAGTCTGTCTCTGGAGATCTCCCACTGGGAGGAGTCGTAGGGCAGGTATTCACACTGCTCGTCCAGTGGCACCTCCCCCGGGTCCATTATGATGGACAGATAACCCGTCTTTATGTCTGCTGGGTTAACCTGCAGCTCAGAGACACACTCAGGTCATTTAAGGTGAGCACATGGAAAAAAGGCTGGAGGCAAAATGAGAAAGAAAGAATGTTAGCGAACAAATTCACTTTCCTTTATTTCTACCAGATTATGATCAATATGTTCTTAAAGGAAGTGAAGGAAGTTTGGCAGAGGAGTTTGTGTTAGACTGACAGCAGCTGTGACAAACCACTGATCCGACGTCCTCATCTACAGTGATGCTCTAACACACACGTGTCAGACAGAAGGCCCACATAAAAATGCTCTGCAGGCCACATGGCCCACGGAGCCTTTTTATGTGGCCTGCGAGATAAATATCAAAAATATTTAAAACTGACCCGCTGGCCGATTTTACCACAAAGACTCTAACTCCCATGATGCTTTGCGGCGTCAGCGCGGAGCCGAAGCGCCCCCTACTTTGTGTTTTTTCCAGCGCCTGCTGCCGGTGTCTGCAGCTCCGCTGTCTCTGACAAACTACACTCCTCTCACTCGGCGCCGAGTTCACTCAGCTATTTTCTGACGTTGAAGCCCAGAAACAGAGATTTTAACCGCTCAGTAATGTGTTCACGGCTGAAAGAGAAAGTTTTCCATCTAACGTCCAGACAGAGCTGATATAACTCCAGCGAACAGCGACACGCTCAAACCAGCACGGCTCTGTGGCTGCTGTCGTGTTTCCTCCCCGACACACAACAACGTGGTCAAGCTGCTCAGACATGTTCATCAGCACAAACCTATGTGAGCACCTGTTGTCATCTAATGTTTTCATTATTATGATGAAGATGAACAAAACAACAGGAGTCTCCTCCTCAGCTCAGATCAACCCCATGATGCAGGTATCTGGCTGGAACAGGTGAGCATCACAGTAAACCAGTGGAGCAAACTGAGCTTTAAATATGTTGGTTTTATGCTCTTTTTCTGCTCCAAGACATGAACGTTAACTGGTGAGATGTTGCATTTTCATTTAAGATAAAATGATATTTTATTTTGTTGTTGGCCCGTGAGAAAAGATTTAACCTACAGTAAACAGGAAGTGGAAAGGCTGCAGATAGATGAATAGAATAGAAAATCCCTTTATTGTTCCTCAGTGGGGAAAGCTAGACGTCACAGCAGCGATGACACGTATTACAGGAGAAAAAAAGGAGAATAAAAAATAAGAAAAATGAATAAACAAGAAAACATAAATCCCGAATAGATTTTAAAAATGCTGATTATACCACAAGTAATGATTACCACTGATGTGTTTTATTTAAAACTGACTTGCTCGTGTGTAATTTGGTTATTCCACATTCAGTGTTAATGCAGGAATAAGTTTGTTTCCACATTTAAAGGTTCAAAATTGCATTTATGTTGATAAAGAAAATGTGCAAATTTGCCATCACTTTTTCAAAAATATTAAGTTTGGCCCTCGACTCCGTCCCAGAGTTTCATTTCGGCCCCAGTGTGAGTTTGAGTTTGACACCCCTGCTGTAACACATCTTTATGTGCTTTTAATAAGCTGCAGCTGCTGAATGTCTGTTTAGAGACACGACAGTAGAACAGAACACCGTGTTTAAATAATAACAGTTTTGAGTCTAAAAAGAAAGAAAATCAAACAGAAACTTCTCTTCAGATCACTGAGACAAGGTCGGAGTTATACAAGACACTTGTTGTTGTTCAAAGTCTGCTCCTGTGTGCCGTCCAGCTATCAGTCACTGTGACTGTTTATAGATGTCTGGGACTTACATTACAGCCACGAGCACTTAAACCTACATCTGTGTTGTCTGAGAAGGAAAAGAGCTTCATACCAGGATAAATGTGTTTTCTGGGGTCCTCCTATAGAGTTATGGGCTGACTGAGTTTAATGAGAAATAACTCTGAGAAGAGCTGCTGTGTGAACCTCTGCACCCCTGGACGGATCAGAATAAAACTCTTGGTCTGTCTGCTTAGTATTTACCTTCTACTAGAGATAGATGGAACTCATCAGAAGTTAAAAATATCCTGAGAAAAGGTGTTAAACCTGCGACACGGATCCTGGCCGCTCTGATTTGGTGACTCTGATTCATCTTAAGAGTACATCGCCTTTTTTTAGTTTCAATTCTGAAAGTGTTAACGTCCACTCAGAAGATCCATTATAGTGTTTCTCAGTGCTCAGTGAAGGTGAGTTCAAAGCTCAGGAAAAATGTAGGATTTTTTTTGTTTGCTACTTGGCGATGCTCCTTTCACCAAGAGAAATCAGATGTCTGATCTTCAGACTGCCAGTCATAGATGAGTCTGATCATGTGGCTGATTCTGATCACCAGCTCAGCTTTTGGTCTACTCTGCTGGAACTGTACACCATTATTAACCTGCAACTATACCTGAAGACTTGTTTTTCACCACTACATGAACTGCATCTTTGCATTTGTAAAAAAAAAAAAGGTTTCCTTTCCGTTTGCCTGCTGACAGCCAGGTCACAACATAAACAAACGTTTCTTTGGAAGCTAAAAAATCACAATAAATGCAGGCAGCCTGTTTAAAACGACAGGGGTTATAGGTTAACAGGGAGGAAGAAAAGTGTGTGCTCTCTGACCCGTTTCACGTTGCAGAAGATGAGGATGAGCAAAGCCCAGAAGAAAACTGCGATGACACCGGTCCCGACTAAAATCACGATCTCCACGTTGGCCTTGTCACTCGAACCTGATCGCAGAGATCAGAAAAAACAACATGTGGGTATAAATGGTTTTACCACTAAAACACAACACCCCACCCTGACACAGCTTATACCCCAAGGCGTCTACAGGGGGCACTGCCTTACAAAACACTGACCCCAGCTCCTTTCCAATAACCTTTGGGCGGGCAATCCTGGTCCTCGAGGGCCACTATCCCACATGATTTACTGTTTTCCCTGTTTCAACACACCTGATTTCAATCAGCAGGAGATTAGCTGGCTTCTGCAGAGCTTGATGAGCTGCTGAATCAACTGTGTTGGAACTGGGAAGTAACAAAAAGATGCAGGATACTGGCCCTCGAGGACTGGAGTCGCCCAGCTGGAATCAGTTTGCTGAGCAGACTTTTAAGGTGTTTGGGTCTTCTGTGGAAACCACTTCCAGTCATTCCTCTTAATGATTCATTCTGAACACAAAACGTCCAACAAGTCAATGGGTTTGATTTGGAGAGCAGAGAGCACAAGCACACGGCCGTCAGCGGCAGTAGAGTAACGACGAGCACTTTTCAAGGGTAAAGAGGGCATGAACTATGTGTGTGTGTGTGTGTCTTTGTGTGTGTGCATGCTTATGTGTTTGTGTTTGCATGTGTGTGTGTGTGTTTGTGTGTGCGCATGTGTGCGTGCGTGTGTTGCTGTCTCACCGATGACCCTGACAGCAGCTGAAGACTGGACACAGCCTCGCTGGTTGCAGGCGGTGCAGGTGTAAAGTCCAGCATCCTCCTCTCTGACCCGCTGGATGCTCAAGGTGCGGTTTGAATCCTGCAGCTGGACCCCTGCATGATTAATGCATGACTCCATGACTCCTCAACTTTATTAACTGGGGGGGGGGGGGGGGGGGGGGGGGGGGTGTTTCGAGTCACAACTCCAGATATCTATTATTCTATCACTCTACACTTCAGGCTTCATGTCTGACTAAACCCAGAGCATCGGCTGTCAATCAAACCCACAGAACCTCAAGAGGAATAGCACAGAGAATAGAAATGAGCGCTGGTTGGCAATGCTCCCTGTCTCCAACGTGCGCTTGAGGTTTGCACCTCATCAGACAGGCTAAATGCAGAATCCCACCCCCACCCCCCACTCCACACAAACACACACACACACAGACAGACACATACACACATTCCGAGTAATGACAGTCAGGCTGAATTTTAATATCAGCCATTCACTGGACATTTACTCACACACACTCCACGTGCTACCAAATCATGAATCATATTAATTTCAATATTTAAACAAACAATCCACCAGTTTTCAACTAGGATATGATTCTGACTTCCAGCCAGTGTGTGTGTGTGTGTGTGTGGGTGGGTGGGTGGTTGATACAGAAGGTGGGCCCAGTTGTGTAAACGAGTGTGTAGGTGTGTTTTTCCCACCTGACATTTGGTGGAGGGGCTGGTTGTCTTTGAACCAGGAGAGATGGGGCAGAGGTCGGCCGTCTGCATCACACTCCATCCTCAGAGACTCGGTAATGTTCACCGTCTGGTTGGTGAGGCTGTGCTTGTACCGCGGCGCCTCCAGGGCTAGAAAATAAATCAATAGCATCGGTCATCGTCAGAGCCATGGGCCTGTAGTCTTGTACGATTGAAAAAGCAAAAGTAAATAATACATAAAAAATAATCTACAAAATCCTATTTAAATGTACATCTGTCCTAGGGGGAGTGATGCAAGGTGATCCAGAGCAGAGAACATGAATGAATTCCAAAAATGTGTTAGTGCCTCGGTGTGTGTGTGTGTGTGTGTGTGTGTGTGTGTGTGTGTGTGTGTGTGTGTGTGTGTGTGTGTGTGTGTGTGTGCGTGTGTGTGTGTGTGTGTGCGTGTGTGTGTGTTTCCTCCACAGAGTTCTGCTCTATAATTAGCTGTGTTTGGGCTGAACATTTACAGGATGTGAATCTGTGTGTTTGATGCTTGTATTTATTCCTCCTTCCTCTCACCTTTGACAGAGATGTATCTGAACAGACACTGCTTCTCGCCACTGCGCCTGCTCTGAGCCGTGCACACATAATGCCCCTCATCCGGCAGCCGCACGGACTCGACCGTGAAGTCTGACACCCAGCTGTTGGAGTTTTTCTGGAAGAAGAGCTCGCCCTGAAGGGGTTTAGCGTACCGGTGCATGCTGTTGCAGTCCAGCTCCGGAAGCCTACCCTGCTGGTCCTGCAGAGCCTGGGGGTTGAGACGGTACCACTGCAGCTGATCGTAGGTGTAGTTGTCAGCACTGCAGCGCAGAGACATGTTCTCCTGCTCCAGGGGGGTCTCAGAGGGATGGACATCTACACTGAAGCCTTCAGGGATGGCTTCAAAGATGAAAGGGGGCAGTGAGGGGTCAAGATGAGGCTTTATGATGTAAAATGATGAAAAGCACTCTTTATATAATAATAATAATAATAATAATAATATTAATAATGCATTGAACTTATATAGCACTTTTCTAGACACCCAAAGACGCTTTCACACACTCTCACATTCACCCACTGCTAGTGATGGTAAGCTACTTGTAGCCACAGCCGCCCTGGGGAGGTCTGACAGAGGCGAGGCTGCCATTTGGCGCCGTCGGCCCCTCTGACCACCACTAACACAGGCAAGTTGGGTGAAGTGTCTTGCCCAAGGACACAACAGCAGGATACCCCTGGCGGGAGCTGGAATCGAACCCATGACCCTCTGATCATGAGGCAACCCGCTCTACCACCTGAGCTACTGCTGCC